GATGATTGTGTATTATATATAACATATCCATATGCTTGCTTTGAATTCCTGCTTGTAGTGGAAGTCCTTGCATCCTCAGCAGCAGCTGAGTGACTGGTAAGGAGAGATTGCAGACATTATGGAAATAGACAAGCTAGCCTGTATTGCAGTGTTATAAGATCGGATATTTCACACTGTAGATTGGCCTAGACATTGCAGTGTAACATGTTACCTTACACAAGAGAATAATTATGGATCAACACTTCAAATTTCCATCTTCTGATCAAGATATGGGATGATATGAGAAATGTGCACATGCAGAGACCAGTAAATAGTCTATTATCTTTTCGCTTAGAACATTAAGGAAGATCATACTTATTAGTGATGCTTTCTTGACAGTATGAAAAAATATCAACCTGAATTTTGTGTTTTCTTTGCATCATCTTTTTGCTAAGCGTATTAGGGAAGATCACATGACTAAGTGACACTTTCATGACTATGTCAAGAAATATTCAGAATTATTTTTTTCTTAAAGTGACACTTTATCTGTTTCTTCCATTTGCCTGTTTTCTCTTTATTTCTGCTGTCTGTCCATTCATTAGTCTTGTTTTTGCTAGAGTATGATATGCTTCAGTTTTAGTATGAGAATATACAATTTATGTTTGTGTTACTACAGAATGCTCTCTTACACAAGTCATAGCAAGAATACATGTAGAGTCATGCTTCAATAAGTCATGTGTATGGGGAATATCACACATCTAAAGGATGAGCTACCAAGCTTGATAATCCGTTGAAGGGAAGACAGAAAATGTTGGATTACGCATAGGGTTATCTAAGAACAAGAGATCCAACATTTTGTGTAAGATCTAATTTAAGACAATTCATTACTTTCAGGATTTTTGTAACAGCTATACTGCTTGCTTGCTTTCCAAATCATACATGCTTACATGCCACACTCTATAAGACATTGCACTTGGGTTTGTTTGTGATGATGACAGAATTAGGACCTAGGATTATGTTTACAGGGAGGACATACTGTAGTGTGCTCCATAGCAGGATAAGGATGAAGCATGAATGACCAACTTCAAACTCGATTGCCACTTGATACTATTTTGGGACTATATTTAGATATATTAGGACAGGGAGTTTTCATTTCATCTAATGTAGAGGACCCAAACAGCCTGTTGACAGCTTACAGCACAGACAGCATTGCCACACATTCTGCTCCTGAGAAATGGGAACTGTTTAGTCAAACAGTATACACAACACTTGCATTTTGTCATGAGCTTTGTGAGCATGGTGCGAGAGACACTTGTAATGTGATGGTGCTGGTATGAATGGGAAGTACTGACAAAGCTTGTAATGGTGTGGTCTATCCCAGGGCTGGAGCACTGATCACTTACATATCTCTGATGGTGTTGGTATGAATGGCAAGTACTGCCAAGTTTTATCGCCTTTGCCAGGGCAGAAGCACTGGTCGATTACATGGGCTGTCTAGGAGGTCTTTGGTGTAGCTTCTGATGCTAGTCTTAAAAAATGACATTGATTGGGGTAGTGAGAGGCAGAAGGTCATCCTGGGAGAAGGATTCTAAACTTGATTGGCCAGGCTGGGGAAGGTTTTGTGTGATGGGTTGGGAGGGAGCCAAGCTACATCCAATCCCAGGGATGTCCAATCTGTGCACTCATTAAGGGAAGGTCAAGGGGGTTCAGAGGTCTGTTTTGTGCACCAGTATTTGGGAAGGGATGGGATGGAATAAGGGCTTTTGATACAGACTGGGAGGGGATTGTAATAATCTGTGTATCATCTAATAGCAGCTGTCCTTGAATGTGGAGCGTCTTCTCGAAGATGTTATTTTAGCCGATTAGCTCCTTGCCAACACGATACACATCATGTAACTCTGCCAGCCAGCGGAACAGGGTCAGTCTGCTTCAACAGTGGGCCCTATTGTAGACTATAGGATCTGTAGACATCAGTTGATAGTAGCTGCAATATGCATGAAATTGACAAATGACAATCCAAGAAATACAACAAAAGTCAGCATGAAGGTATGGGGCCCATTCCACAAAACGATCAGAGGACCAAGTTAACCAAAATCCATATTTTAACGTAACCTCACAGCACCAAGATCGCTTCATGGAACTGGGCCCTGGTATCCAGACAAAACAGATTATTAACAAAATAAGCTTTGTGAGTAGAAGCCTCTGTGGAATGCATGAAAATTTGAAGCTTTCTGGGAGAACAGCCTGTTCTTCTTCTTGTTGTGATGTCCCCAGTGAATAGTCCTTGGTGACAGGGTTACTGTGTCGATGTCAGCTACCTTGTCTGTCAGTACCCGCGAGTATCGTGAAGCACTATACACGTCTCTGTCTTCACTGACAGTTGTATTACATTCATGTTCAGTGTAGTTTCTCAGCATGACTTCAATCATGTACAGTGTAATGGATTTGAATGCAACCTAACATAGAATGCAATTGATCACTACCAATGGCTGGACTTTGGCATTGGAATGCAGTTTTGGTAACACAGCTAACAGGAATAGCAGAATGAGACCAGAATATTCATGTTGAAGGCTTTTATTCTAAGCAGAATCTTTGAAAATGCAAAATTGTTGTCAACCAGATATTACCATTTACTGTTCTGTTGGTGTATTTTTGAACATGATATAAACCTGCTGACAGTGCAGTTCTGTGTGTTTATGGACAGCTGCCTTGTCTGGAGCAGAGATCTTCATCCAAACTTGACTGTGGTTTTCAAGGTAGTGGAGTATATAATAGAAAGATGTTCCTATTTGGTTCCCTTGAGAGGTTCTGTTTGGTCATACAAGGTCTTACAATAAAATGTCATAAAACCACGCCTCCCCCATACTTGTTCTGTATGTCAAATGATACCAGCTCTTGGAGCTGCAGACAACATGCGAAATGGTATCAGAAGATTGCATCATTATGCAGTAGAATGCACAGGCAACGAAACATGTTGCAAGCTTGCTTTTGGACAGCTGTCAGGGTATTGTGATGTTGATTGGTGTATGCCAATGGCTTGTATGATGTCCACGTACCCTCCCCGATAGTCTCAGTGTATGTCTGCCCAGGCTACTTCCTGAAACACTTCACCGTCACTCATCTCACTGTACTTTATGTTCCGCTTACTTTGTGTTCTGGTTTGGAGCTAATAAATGTAGTTGTAGTTGAGAATGGCGTTCTGTTGTGCTTTGTGTTGACCATGACACCATTTCAATATTTCAGCTATTAGTAACAACTTCGAGCAACACAATAGTGCTGAAATCAGTTCTGGCATGGATCTATTGATTGGCCAAATTGGTCAAGGCAGAAAGAATCCAAACTCATTTTTCAAAAAGTGAATTTAAAGCTGGTGGAGATGGATAATTTCAGGGGTGGAAATAACCCATTGCCCGACGCCTGAGTCCAGTGTTTTTTTTCTGTCAGACATGCAAATTTGTATATCACACTGTACCGGTGTCAAGTTGACTTTCAAGAAATGTGTCCTGTATAGTGGAAACATTATCAGGGCAAGTGATTTTACATGTGCCACTGTACTAGAGTACACAAGCAATTTTAAAGTTATTTCCACCCCTGCTTTTGAACAATGCTAACACGGGCTGAGAGGACAAAAGAAAGCAGTGTCCCACTCACTGTCTCCGTTATGGTAAGGTGGTTCCTTCACGTAATGTTTCTAACACACTTGATGTCCACTTTTTTATGTTAATGTTAGTAAACCATACAAATGCAACAAGAGTTATTTTTACGCAAATTTTGAGCCGTATTGTTCCATTTCACAAATCGTCATGTGGTCACATGCAGATTTATCAGCATTAATCGAACATTGCAGATAGTGTGTAAAATGTGTGGAGCAGTTAGAGGACTACACAAGATTGCATATGAACAGTACTGCAACAGCATGTCAGGTGCATGTTTAGCATGTTACCAAAGTGGTGAAATACAGAATTGGTATTGACAGGCCAAGGGGTCAAAATCTGGGATGTCAACCCACATTGTGGATCATAACAGTGCTGAATCTCAGTTGCATCAGTCAATGCACTCATTGATCACTGTTAACCCTAGCCTCCTGCATATTATTTTCTGGGTGGTGGGTTAGCCTAGTGGTTAAGGCATTTGCTCGTCTCGTCGAAGACCTGGGTTTGATTCCCATGGGTACAATATGTGTAGCCCATTTCAGTTATCCCCCGTCGTCATATTGCTGGAATATTGCTAAAAGCTGTGTAAAACCATTGTCACTCACTCACTACATATTGTTTCAAGGATATGGAAACAGTTAAAGTCTGTTTGTCGTGAAAACGTACCAATGAATTTCACTTTAAACAAAAAAGTAAATTAAATAAAGAGAAATTAAGAATCCACATAATTTTACCTTGCCGATTGAACTTTTAAATCTCAGAATTTTTTTCAACTTAGGTTAAAAGTTGTTTAACAAATGATCATAGTTTCAAATCGCTATTATTGGTTTGTATTACAAGAGGGTACGTGAAGTAGTTGGAACAGTGAAATAAATGCACATGTGTGCGTGATGAGCATTAAGTTAGACTACCGTAGAAACCAACCCTTCTTGTTCTCGGGGTTTCATTTAATGTGCACACCCCATTGTAATACAAACCAATAATAGCGATTTGAAACAATGATCGTTTGTTTAACGTTTATCCTAAGTTGCATAAAATTTTGAGATTTTAATGTTCAATTGGCAAGGTAAAGTTATGAGGATCTACAATCTTAATTTCACTTTATTTGATTTACTTTTTTGTTTAAAGTGAAATTCATCGGTATGTTTTTCCTGCAAACAGACTATAATGTATGAAAGAAAATGGGATTTAACAATGTTGGAGATTGTTGCACTGAACAACGTCCATGCATCTGTGTGGCATTGTTTGGTACAATATCCAACCAAGTGGCTGACTGTCCACAACATCAAGGCGGTGGTCCATTGAAGTATGTGAGGTTTTACTCTGTGGCAATAATGAATACAAATGCTGACATGAGGAACAAACACATCAATATAAACATCTTTATTATACAAACACTTGTAAGCATCAGTACCTCACAGCCACACCTTGAACATTGAAATACACTCACATAACAAGTTGGCTTTATAAAAATATACATTAAATTGAAAGGAATCTCGAGGAAAAGCAAATTGATTGGCTCATAATTTGTTATCCTTTGACTACAGGAACAATGATTCTCTTAATACTGCATATCATTATAAAATACTGGACAAACACTTTGCAGTAAAGTATAGATCAAAGATATAAGATTCTGTATATATCTTCATAAAACAATACTGTAGGGCAAGAACCACAAGGTCTTTTAACATTATAAAAATATCAATATGGAAGATTCATGAATAGGCTAGGTTATGGACACTTTTGTCTTTAACCAGTTTTAGCTGCTGTACAACTTCACACAATACTGACTGCACCTCTCTGAAGCTCTTGCCCCAAACTTATCTTAAAGGTGCAGTATAAACATTATGTTACCCTTTAATCTCCTGCTTGACCAACATACAACTTCAACATGGTCAACCTCAATCTAATCCTATCAAGTATACACTGCAGTTTAGCAGAAATGCATCCACACTTGTCAAGGGAACATTTCTCAGATCAAAACGCCTAAGTGTCCAAGAGAACTTGATAGGCACACAATCATATTTGTAATCAGACTACCCTCAGTTCAAAGTCAACCCTGGTTTTACAAAATACCAATCAGAAAGATATGTTCAGAGCCCTCTTCCTCAACCACTCTGAGATGATGATTTTCACACCCCACTGATCTGCATGACAAGAGTCCTTCAGCTTAAACACTGTATCTACTTCAGGGTCATCTTGACTTGTATGAGTGTACTACTGATCATTCCATATGTTATTTTCCTTATCTTCCATTCACAAGGTTGAGGCATCATATGTTAATTCAATCCAGCAATTCATTATATTAGTGAACATATTCAACATGAGATGGTTATACAACCTCCAGGAAATCAAAATATGGATATAACCCCCATTAGTATACGTTGTGGCAAGGTGGATAATGTACAATGCTGTTGGTAATATAACAGAGAGGAATCACAGATTTAGAAATTAAAACCACAAGATGTAGTGTTAACAACCTGAGTTTTACTCAAGAATATTCTTGATGTCAAGAATCAAGTGTTTCAAAATAAGGTTGACATTCTCATCAACAGAACTAACAAATGTATGAGAACATTGTCCTCGTCAACAATAACACATCCTTGCAGTCTAACCATACATGTGATCAAGGACAAAATCTCAGAAATTTACAAATCAGTGACAGTTGATTTTGAGTAATCTCTTTTGAAATATAACAATAACATGTCAAAAAAACCATCAGTGACAGTATCATCATAAATAAAAACATTGGTCTTCCTTACATGTGCTTCTGCCGACCACTGTATCAACTGATAATGGATGTATTCTCCACCTTGGTCCTGATGGAACGTAACACACGGTTCCCGGACACTCGTCGGTTGTCCTCCTTCCATGCTGGCGCCCCCATTGTACCTGGAACACGGGGTCAGAATACAAGATGTTGTTCACATGATATTATATAACAAACCTTCAAAGGAGAAATTCTTGTCGACACTGAAAAATATGGCCGGCATGTACAAACCTGTCAAGTTGAAAATAGCAAGGACGATAACATGCAATTATAGACTTCATATACAACCATCAATCAATATCCGTTTTAATGCTGATGATATACTCTCCATCCAAGGTCGATATTCCTTTGTTCTGGTTTATGAAAAAAACATTATTGTCTTTGATTGTTTTATTACGTCATATAGAGATGAAACCCTTTTTAACATTTCAGATCTAGGTACAATGATGAAAGGAAGTTCCAACAAATGGAGACATCTGATTGGCTTAGGTTTGCAGAATACCTCACAATCAGCCAGGTAAAAGATAGAGATCAGTTCAGGGCCCCAGTCGTAAGTCTATGTTAAAGTATGGGAGTTACGACTGTCGTAGCGCTACGATCGCTTTGAGGAACGGGGCCCTGGCCTCCTTTCACAAAGCACTAAGGTGATCGTAAGTCACTAAGGTAACCTTAGTGCAATGTTAAAAAATGGGAGTTATAGAGGTTAACCTTAGTAAAGGTTGCTTAGTGAAAGGAGCCCCTGGTACTATAAATCGGGTTTGCGAAATCCACTGACACCTGCCATGTTTTTTATCCAGAAATCCAAACTCCTGACACTGGGATATTATTACCATTAGTCACTGTGTCAGACATTCTTAAAAATGACAAACTGGCTGTTTTAATATTGTCGAAATAACTGATGATGTTCTTGTGTGTGACCTCTGACCTACCTGTGATGAAGTTGTACTGCTTTCTGACGGGATATTCCCTAGATACACCCTGACCCAGCATGTGGCCCAGCTTGCTGTGGATACGATTATACTGAGACCAGTAGCTGGGAGGATCATCAGACACGCGGATTACGGCCTTCACCTCTGACCCTGACCTCTGTTCTTGACTTTTGGCATGTGCTGTCACATGAAGTTGACTGGCCTGTGGAAGATGCAGTGAAGATTAGACATCGCAGAATATCCAAGACTGAAAGTTTGCATGAATAATGAGTTGATCTGAGTTAACATTAAGACATCTTTGAAAATGTTTCAGCTATATCATGGTGTGTCTGCTTGACCTGGGATGTAAGTCTTGACGATGCAGGTCTCGGATGTTTGCCACTAGTGAAACTCACACCAGTGAATATGGCAATGCACACAGCATTGGGAATACCAAAGGAAACAACAGGCTACCAAATTATGGAATATTTCCACATATTTAAACTAAAATCACTTTCATTCATGCAGGTCAGGACAAAGGTACCTGATGTGTAAATTATTGGGTTTGGGTCCATTGATAACATTCGCTGTTTTGATGGTTATGATGCTAATGTTATGGGGATTGTTTCTCTGTATGTAATTTTTGTAGCTATTTCTATGTACAGTGTGACAATAGCCCTATAGGCCCAAATGATATACTCTGTAATAGTGTTATTCTGGGCAGCGATGATATACTCTCCATGATAGTGTTAGTCTGGGCACCGATGATATACTCTCTGTGATAGTGTTAGTGTGGGCAGCGATGATATACTCTCCATGATAGTGTTAGTCTGGGCACCAATGATATACTCTCCATGACAGTGTTAGTCTGGGCACTGATGATATACTCTCTCTGATAGTGTTAGTCTGGGCACCGATGATATACTCTCCATGACAGTGTTAGTCTGGGCACTGATGATATACTCTGTAATAGTGTTATTCTGGGCACCGATGATATAGGGAGGAAAACTGATTTCTATGGATAGTCAACTTCTTTATTGCAATGAGTGCGACGTTTCGGTGTAGATACTAACACCGTTATCAAGCAAGTGATATCACTTGTTGATACGGTGTTTATATCTATATAAACGATCGAAAACCGATTTCTATGGATAGTCAGTCAACTTCTTTATTGCAATGAGTGCGACGTTTCGGTGTAGATACTAACACCGTTATCAAGCAAGTGATACCAATGATATACTCTCCATGATAGTGTTAGTGTGGGCACCGATGATATACTTTCTCTGATAGTGTTAGTCTGGGCACCGATGATATACTCTCCATGATAGTGTTAGTCTGGGCACCAATGATATACTCTCCATGATAGTGTTAGTGTGGGCACCGATGATATACTCTCCATGATAGTGTTAGTCTGGGCACCAATGATATACTCTCCATGATAGTGTTAGTCTTGGCACCAATGATATACTCTCCATGATAGAGTTAGTCTGGGCACCAATGATATACTCTCCATGATAGTGTTAGTGTGGGCACCAATGATATACTTTCTCTGATAGTGTTAGTCTGGGCACCGATGATATACTCTCCATGATAGTGTTAGTCTGGGCACCGATGATATACTTTCCATGATAGTGTTAGTCTAGGCACCAATGATATACTCTCCATGATAGTGTTAGTCTGGGCACTGATGATATACTCTCCATGATAGTGTTAGTGTGGGCACCGATGATATACTCTCTGTGATAGTGTTAGTATTGGCACCAATGATATACTCTCCATGATAGTGTTAGTGTGGGCACCAATGATATACTCTCCATGATAGTGTTAGTCTGGGCACCAATGATATACTCTCTGTGACAGTGTTAGTCTAGGCACCAATGATATACTCTCTGTGACAGTGTTAGTCCAGGCACCAATGATATACTCTCTGTGATAGTGTTAGTCTGGGCACCAATGATATACTCTCCATGATAGTGTTAGTGTGGGCACCAATGATATACTCTCCATGATAGTGTTAGTGTGGGCACCAATGATATACTCTCCATGACAGTGTTAGTCTGGGCACTGATGATATACTCTCTCTGATAGTGTTAGTCTGGGCACTGATGATATACTCTCCATGACAGTGTTAGTCTGGGCACCGATGATATACTCTCTCTGATAGTGTTAGTCTGGGCACCGATGATATAGGGAGGAAAACTGATTTCTATGGATAGTCAACTTCTTTATTGCAATGAGTGCGACGTTTCGGTGAAGATACTAACACTCAATTATCAAGCAGTAGATATCACTTGCTTGATAACGGTGTTAGTATTAATATCTAAACGCTCGGAAAAACTGATTTCTATGGATAGTCAACTTCTTTATTGCAATGAGTGCGACGTTTCGGTGTAGATACTAACACCGTTATCAAGCAAGTGATACCAATGATATACTCTCCATGATAGTGTTAGTGTGGGCACCGATGATATACTTTCTCTGATAGTGTTAGTCTGGGCACCGATGATATACTCTCCATGATAGTGTTAGTCTGGGCACCAATGATATACTCTCCATGATAGTGTTAGTGTGGGCACCGATGATATACTCTCCATGATAGAGTTAGTCTGGGCACCAATGATATACTCTCCATGATAGTGTTAGTGTGGGCACCGATGATATACTTTCTCTGATAGTGTTAGTCTGGGCACCGATGATATACTCTCCATGATAGTGTTAGTCTGGGCACCGATGATATACTTTCCATGATAGTGTTAGTCTAGGCACCAATGATATACTCTCCATGATAGTGTTAGTCTGGGCACTGATGATATACTCTCCATGATAGTGTTAGTGTGGGCACCGATGATATACTCTCTGTGATAGTGTTAGTATTGGCACCAATGATATACTCTCCATGATAGTGTTAGTGTGGGCACCAATGATATACTCTCCATGATAGTGTTAGTCTGGGCACCAATGATATACTCTCTGTGACAGTGTTAGTCTAGGCACCAATGATATACTCTCTGTGACAGTGTTAGTCCAGGCACCAATGATATACTCTCTGTGATAGTGTTAGTCTGGGCACCAATGATATACTCTCCATGATAGTGTTAGTGTGGGCACCAATGATATACTCTCCATGATAGTGTTAGTGTGGGCACCAATGATATACTCTCCATGACAGTGTTAGTCTGGGCACTGATGATATACTCTCTCTGATAGTGTTAGTCTGGGCACTGATGATATACTCTCCATGACAGTGTTAGTCTGGGCACCGATGATATACTCTCTGATAGTGTTAGTCTGGGCACCGATGATATAGGGAGGAAAACTGATTTCTATGGATAGTCAACTTCTTTATTGCAATGAGTGCGACGTTTCGGTGAAGATACTAACACCGTTATCAAGCAAGTGACATCACTTCCTTGATAACGGTGTTAGTATCTACACCGAAACGTCGGAAAACTGATTTCTATGGATAGTCAACTTCTTTATTGCAATGAGTGCGACGTTTCGGTGTAGATACTAACACCGTTATCAAGCAAGTGATACCAATGATATACTCTCCATGATAGTGTTAGTGTGGGCACCGATGATATACTTTCTCTGATAGTGTTAGTCTGGGCACCGATGATATACTCTCCATGATATTGTTAGTCTGGGCACCAATGATATACTCTCCATGATAGTGTTAGTCTGGGCACCAATGATATACTCTCCATGATAGTGTTAGTGTGGGCATCGATGATATACTTTCTCTGATAGTGTTAGTCTGGGCACCAATGATATACTTTCCATGATAGTGTTAGTGTGGGCACCAATGATATACTCTCCATGATATTGTTAGTCTGGGCACCAATGATATACTCTCCATGATAGTGTTAGTCTGGGCACCAATGATATACTCTCAATGATAGTGTTAGTGTGGGCACCAATGATATACTCTCTGTGACAGTGTTAGTCCAGGCACCAATGATATACTCTCCATGATAGTGTTAGTGTGGGCACCAATGATATACTTTCCATGATAGTGTTAGTGTGGGCACCGATGATATACTCTCCATGATAGTGTTAGTGTGGGCACCAATGATATACTCTCTGTGACAGTGTTAGTCTAGGCACCAATGATATACTCTCCATGATAGTGTTAGTCTGGGCACCAATGATATACTCTCCATGATAGTGCTAGTGTGGGCACCGATGATATACTTTCTCTGATAGTGTTAGTCTGGGCACCGATGATATACTCTCCATGATAGTGTTAGTGTGGGCACCGATGATATACTTTCTCTGATAGTGTTAGTCTGGGCACCGATGATATACTCTCCATGATAGTGTTAGTCTGGGCACCGATGATATACTCTCCATGATAGTGTTAGTGTGGGAACCAATGATATACTCTCCATGATAGTGTTAGTCTGGGCACCAATGATATACTCTCCATGATAGTAAGTTATCATGGAATAATATTTCATACAAAATTCATTATTCATTATTACCACTACAAGCGATATATTAGGATTCAGATATTAGGAAAATATAAATATAGAATATTAGTAATAGCTTAGAGAAAGACTCCAGTCAAAAGTTGTAAAACTCATCTCACAGACATATTATTGAAAAAGGTATAAATTACGGCTACACAATTTCACAGATATTCAAGATATAATCCTAGCCTGAGGTATTGAGGACCATAGTGTTAGTCTGGGCACCGATGATATACTTTCTCTGATAGTGTTAGTCTGGGCACCGATGATATACTTTCTCTGATAGTGTAAGTCTGGGCACTAAGATATACTGTTACGTTACATCAGTAACAGTAGTAGGTTACTCCTTTTGAATCCTATTTGTCACATTAGGTTGATGAAATTATCTCCCTTTGATTATGTCCGTCAAAGGCATATTTTTTTTATACCTGTCTTATTTAACGTCAGGGGTTTAGAGTTATCGCGCTTGGCAAGCAAGAGGCTCCGGCCATGCTTTATGGGCAGTAAAATGGAAAATTAGGAAATAATAGGTCATCCGATTGCATCGGAACATATAAGACAACTAAGATGTAAGTACTCTTCATTTCTTACGTCTAGAGTATTGTTATTCTACATCTATGTACCTGTTAGGGCAAATTTAGTGTAAATTAAAGTGATTTCATCCATCGGTAAAATAGCACAGGTTTTAGTCACACGCTTTATCTACATATAGGCTCGATTGCATTAATTTCCGTACATTTAATTTGAATTTGTTTATTTTCACTCTGTAAAGTGTATCTGTCAGGAAAGATACATGTAGTTAATTTGTGTGTATGTTTTACCTAGGCTACAATGGAGATAAATTTGATGTAAGGAACCCTTTGAACTTCGTCAACTTATGCTATTGTTAAAGGTTTGTAATTAGGATATATTTCACCTTTCAACCTGTATCAATTACTGTAGTCTTATTTCGTATATTATCCTATTTGCTTCATGTTATAAGGTACAGTTACTTTGAAATAGGACATAGGATTTATGGAACTCCATTGTAATTCAGGCCTTTGTTTTGTTTACAGCTTTTTACTATATATAACTGATCAGTGTAATTCAATCCGAGGACTGAATAAATACGACACTGACAAGCAGTTTGCGTGAAGTCATTACACCAGAGCGCAGACAGCACAGTAAAAAGATCTTAAATTCTTCTCATAAGATAAGACCCAGCCATGTCATCATCATCAGAATTGTCTCCAGACAACCTTCCTACATCGGGAGAGTCACAGGATGAAGCGGCATCATCAGTCAAAACCCCGAACCAAGCATCATCATCGGTTGAAACACAGAACAAGAAGTCATCTTCAGGCAAGGCTGCATCACAGGACAACACAAACCAGGAAAGACCTCCGTCGGTTCACAGTGAATCCTCAAATCGGTCTAAATCAAAATGTTCAAGAGTGTCCAGTAGATCGAACATTAGTTCAGTGATAGAGTTGAAAAGAGCTGAAGCACAATCGGCTCGTGTTGAGCTACAATTCGCTCAGAAGGAGGCTGAGCTTTCGCTTAAAAAGGCTCAAATGGACTCTGAATTATCTGTAAAAAGGGCTCAACTTGACTCTGAACTCTTCAAATGGATAATGAGCTCAAAATCCTGGAATCACAAAAGAACATTGCGGTAGCGGAAGCATAATTACAGGTTTTAGAATCTGTCGACAGACAATCAGAACAGCGATCACCACCACCCCTGCTCCTACCATACGACGACCCTGTCCAAAAAGTCACGAGATACATATCAGACAATATTCAGACAGGAGATCACTCCGTTGAAATAGTCAATCAGGAACAAGTGCAACAGACAGCTCAAATGAAACCTAACACTTTGCTTAACCCGGAGGCACCACCATACACACCAGATTGCAACTCTGACTTCATGCGCTACCTACTTCGCAAGGATCTTGTCCTCTCTAGACTCACGAACTTTAACAACAAGCCTGAAGACTACCCTATTTGGAAATCTGGTTTCAAGAGTGTGATAAGTGAACTTAAGTGTGGGCACCAACATTAGGTTGATGAAATTATCTCCCTTTGATTATGTCCGTCAAAGGCATATTTTTTTTATACCGGTCTTATTTAACGTCAGGGGTTTAGAGTTATCGCGCTTGGCAAGCAAGAGGCTCCGGCCATGCTTTATGGGCAGTAAAATGGAAAATTAGGAAATAATAGGTCATCCGATTGCATCGGAACATATTGGACAACTAAGATGTAAGTACTCTTCATTTCTTACGTCTAGAGTATTGTTATTCTACATCTATGTACCTGTTAGGGCAAATTTAGTGTAAATTAAAGTGATTTCATCCATCGGGTAAAATAGCACAGGTTTTAGTCACACGCTTTATCTACATATAGGCTCGATTGCATTAATTTCCGTGACATTTAATTTGAATTTGTTTATTTTCACTTCTGTAAAGTGTATCTGTCAGGAAAGATACATGTAAATTTGTGTGTATGTTTTACCTAGGCTACAATGGAGATAAATTTGATGTAAGGAACCCTTTGAACTTCGGGCCAACTTATGCTATTGTTAAAGGTTTGTAATTAGGATATATTTCACCTTTCAACCTGTATCAATTACTGTAGTCTTATTTCAGTGATATTATCCTATTTGCTTCATGTTATAAGGTACAGTTACTTTGAAATAGGACATAGGATTTATGGAACTCCATTGTAATTCAGGCCTTTGTTTTGTTTACAGCTTTTTACTATATATAACTGATCAGTGTAATTCAACCGAGGGACTGAATAAATCATTACACCTGACAAGCAGCACATATACTCTCCATGATAGTGTTAGTCTGGGCACCAATGATATACCTCCATGATAGTTGTTAGTCTGGGCACCAATGATATACTCTCCATGATAGTGTTAGTCTGGGCACCAATGATATACTCTCCATGATAGTGTTAGTCTGGGCACCAATGATATACTCTCCATGATAGTGTTAGTGTGGGCACCAATGATATACTCTCCATGATAGTGTTAGTGTGGGCACCAATGATATACTCTCCATGATAGTGTTAGTGTGGGCACCAATGATATACTCTCCATGATAGTGTTAGTCTGGGCACCAATGATATACTCTCCATGATAGTGTTACTCTGGGCATCAATGATACACTCTCCATGATAGTGTTACTCTGGGCACCAATGATATACTCTCTGTGATAGTGTTAGTCTAGGCACAACAATATACTCTCTGTGATAGTGATATACTTACACTCGGGCACTGTTTGGCTGTGAAGTCTTTGGAGTAGTTGGTGTGCCATGGGTTATCACGGTGGGGCACGCCCAGATAATACTGGGAGACGTGCATGGAGGGGGCCGGTGTGGCACGTGCACCTGGATTCAGTGCCTTACTGCCCCCATGAAACTGGAAGAGAAGCTCCACATATATCGACATACATTTTGATAAAGAACAGAGCACACTCACAGACCTATATGCCCCCATTCTGAATGAAACTGGCCATGGAATAGGGCATGTCAAGCCATACTTCCATGGACTAAGAGGGATTCATCCTAATATCGAGCACACTGAATATGGCCTTTATTACCCCTTCACATGACATGATGGCTGAAGATTTCAATCAACTCTGCTTAAATTTGTTGAGGTTCTGTTTTAGCAACACATTCAAAGAAAATGAATAAAATTGTGCTATGTCATAGCCAAATATGATCACACAGAGTGACTTCCCTTAGAAATAAACACTTAGTAATACATCAGTTTCCAAGCCCTATTTTCCGACTTAAATCGTGTTTTGAATTATAACCGCGATGTATTATCTTCATGTCTACACAACATGCATTACTTACCATTTGCTTAAACTCTAAACATGTGAAAGGATTACATAAAGAACCTTATTTGCCCTTGATTATATTTTTTTTTTAAAGTGAAAGTTTTTAATTTGGGTGCAATGTTGCAAATCAGGACTTGAGTGGACAGTCTGTTTCGAACCTGTCAGTCTCATTGCCCCAAACCATTTTTCATTGTATCTCATAATTTAGAGATTTTCATGGTATAAAATCTACTTTTTTCAGAGAAGTCTCCATGTCTTATATAAATACTTATTCATTGTCATCAAAAAGGAATAAATTGAAAATGAGGTGATATTGATTATATAGTGTTTGACACTAACATGGATGTTTTGGCTACAACCTGGTAAACTGTCCCAGGAGAATGATTTAACCAGTGATTTAATAGTTTGGTGTTATTCTTGGTTCTGTTGATTCTTTATGTAATTTATAACAGAAGTGGTGTGGTGAATAGCACAATAAAATGTAAACAATTCTTTATGGTTTACAAAAGGATTTTCTAAAGTACTTTCACTTTCTGGTCAAGACCAATTGAGACCAAAGAGTAATTTGGTGAATAAATAAATAAAATCTGAACAATTCTTTATGGTATACCAAAAGACCCTAAATTACGTTCACTTTCAGGTCAAGATCAATTAAGACGAAAGAATTTTCTATTTGCTCATACTCTGAACAGCTGACAGATACTTGTCAGTGTCAAACATTGTCTGACTATGCTTTAGAAAATTGACATTTTCACTCTTTTCAAACTAACAGAGAAGTTTGCTTTAGAAAGTAATGACATTTTCAAAAAATATATAATATAAAAATGATTTACCACAGATTGATTGTAATGACTGCAGGAAATAATTTCCCAAAGTTTATATACTATGTAGCTGTGGCCAATGTGGAGGTGTAAAACTGTTTACAACATTAATGACAATTTACAGCACTTACAGCAACTGAATAAAAACAAGACAGTTTCCAATCATTACAGCACATTTTCTAAAGTACCTGTTTCGAGGTTGTTGTGTAATCCGGTACCCAAGGGGCTTTGGCTATGAGGAGGGTGGTGGCATGCATGGGTCGGGCGCCCCACCCCCTCTTGAATGGCGCTGACAGCGCTTTCTGTCTCTCTCTGTAAGTTCCATGTGCAACGATAGGAAAATAACACCCATCTTCTGTCAACAATGTTGTGGCACTCTTGCCCTGTCCAAAGTTAACCCTTGGTTCAAACAAAGCCTCGGCTGACATATTAGCTGTGAATGATATTTCCGCAATAAATCTACATAATTAACGTATAAAGAAAACCTGGTGAAACTGACAACAATAATTCTCTGCCACACTTCCGTTTGTAGTCGCGTAAACAGTGGCGACGCGGGACAATGCACGCGATCGCCTCACCTCTTTTGACGCTTTGATATTGCTCCGAAAAAAATAGTTCTCTATTTTGTAAATATTGACAGGTAAATACCCCGGTTTTGCATGCATCTAAACACTTGACAGTCACGAGTTGTAACAAGTAGCATGTTGTAAGAAGTATAAATGTAAGTTAAATGTCTGTAAATGCTTTGAACTTGTGATGGTTGTCAAGGTGACAACTGTCTCCGTAAAGTTGTTCACGGGGTCATTCCGGAAGCTCTCGGAAGTTGCCGAACCGTCGTCTGCAGGCGCAATGATATGACAGTACGTATTGTAAAGTACATTAATTATATGTACACATATTACGCTATTTGGAAAATTCTTACTAGTCATATCAGTAGGTGGCATTTGGCTTATTGGATAGGCTCACCAGGAAGCGAAGTTGGAATATATTGTATATTCACAATGATACCAAACCATCTACAAATACATTATTTAGTCAAGAACGTTTGCATTTCACAAGTCAAATTCTCCGATCAACTGTAATTGTTCAAATCAAATTGGACCGAATCTTGGCCTGATTTTGTGAAATATACCCAGATTACATCGCCTCCACCCAAATAAAGAAAAACAACAACCAAAAACAAAAAAACAACCAAGAAAACAACAAATACCCCCAACACACACACACACAAACCAACAACAACCCCCACCCCCACCCCATATAAAAAACCTAAAACAAACGCCAAACCTAAAAAACCCAAACAAACCAGCAACAAACGAAACAAATGAACGAACCTCGAAAAGGTAGGAAAAAGGCATATTTGACCAAACATGATTTTTTATGTCTGCCTGTAGACTAATGATATAAGTTTGATAGAAACAAATATTCCTTTTAAACTGAAAAAGAGCCTCAAGTGAGATGGGACATTCAGAACCTGAAGAAATCTAGACTTGCTTCATCTAGAGCTGGGCGGAAGGAAAAATAAAGCGTTTCGGAGACTGTGAGGCAGACTAAAAGTACTGTCGGAAACAGAAAAAAACTCTTTTTTTTCACATTTATATCTACAATTTAGGTAGTTAATATGTGAAAGTGTGAAATATCTGTTGAACTAAGTTCGGCCTAACTACAGTCTCAGTGGTAGGGAGATAGGAAACGTTAAAAAAGGATTTTACTGAGGAGATATTAGTGCAGAAATGAGAAATGCGTTTTTTACAAAGTCCGAAGCGACTTATTTGGAGCAGACCGTGGCTTTATGCAAATTAGTGTGCGATGATATTGTATAACAAATGACACTTTTTGAATGTCCATTTTGAAATTAGACTTAGCTTCATTATAAACGATTGCAGACGTAAAAAATAACAACTTTAATACTGAAACTATTAAGGATGTAGATACCATGGAGTCTCACTATCACTATAAAAAGAAACAGGTAGGAGGGGTCGTCTCAAAATCAAAACCAAAACGGGTGTTGCTGATGGTAGTTGGGGTCGGGCTTTGGGGATAGAGATATTAGCTAAGATTAGATAATCAGTAGAGACATATTCAATACACATGAAAAAGCATAAAAGATATTTGAGATGACCCCTTGTGTCTGTGGGCAGCACATGCATTTCATGCCAGGTGAGTCGACGGCCCTTCGTCATACCTGGCTGAGCGACCTAATTGCCATCTAAAGTCTGATCTATTGTTTGCAGCAGCTATTCGTATTTTATCTAAGTTTTGACCGATTATACGAGTAAACATGCTTTTCTGGATGTCCTATTACGCCTCCCACTGAACGCCCAGTTCACACTCCGGCGCAGCGATGACTTAGCATAACGTCACTGCCACAGGCTAATTTGCATATCACGTGACCGGACTTTTCTCTTGTTTGTAAACAAGCGCGTATATTCATAATAAGAAGAGACTGGTCTTAGGCAAGCTTTGGGCGCGCTCTTCACAATGTTTTACATTGTTACATATATATTCTTTCACAACTGCGACAATAACATTTATGACAGTACATATTTAGATATCAAACTGGATGCATCGTTTGCTCTCTGTTGGCTTCGATGGACAGCACGTGGAGCCGTATAAACCTATGTAAACAAAGTATCGCTACGCAAATCGAAATAGTGTTACATGTTTTAGGATATTTTCTCAGTGAAACAAAACCATTCTAACAAAGATGTTTAATTAGATGTGTAGACTCGTAAAAAATAAAACAGTTCAGGAATATGTAGATTATATTGAATGGACGGTACAAGATGTGACGAATCGTCACATCTTTCTGGCCTGTGGCAGAGGTACTATGCTGGCTTGCCGCATGGAACTCTGGGTAGGAGAGTGCGCCCAATTAGGCTGGTGTGGGTTATTTGGACATATGCTATTTGCAATTATGTAAATTTTAGGGATACAGAGGAACAGTTTTTTTTGTCTATTTCAGACGGTACTTTACTCTGCCTGCTTCGGGTGTGTGTGGAGAATAAAAAAACGAAAAAACCCCGACCGCAACCTCGAGGAAGCGTGGTTGCCAAACGCACTAACGTGAACGTAGTTTACAAGATATTGAGAACAGATGTTGAAACTGGCTTCGGATTGTTTCATGTACACTAAACGCCACAAGAAACGCTACCCTCCTACATTTATGAATTAATTAAAAACTATCAAAGATATGTTGGATGGTATTAGTTTACAAGAACGCTTAACAACACAGCTTTATGCAAATCACGAAACACAATTCTCAAATGCATTCATATTTAGGTAAAATGCATCTTTTTCAGAAAAGTTAAATTGTCTTATTTTCGTCCATGCCGAAATAAAATAAAACAGTGATTTCGATGTCCAAAAGAAAGGTTGAAATACAATTCTGGTTTGAGAGAAAGATAACCATTTAAAGTCACCATTTTTCAACTATTAAAACAAGAAACAACTGTTGTAGAGTGTGTAAAATTGTAAAATAATCATTCCTATGATTTCAGTTTTTTAAAACATTTTCTGCCGATTTGCATTAGAGAAAACAAGTAAAACGTGTCTTTGATATTGTGAAAAAATGTTTAGGAACATTTAAAATTATCTTTAACATTTTTGCTTGCAAAGTAACATTTTTCCATTTTCTGTTTACACATAGCAATATCAATCGCCAAAACGCAGCAATATTCAAGCAGTATTTGCATCCATTTCACATATAGAATGATTCTGTAGGGTACAAAGAGCCTAGAATGCATGATATGATACACAAGTACGAGAAATATGCCACGATTAACAGCTGAAGAGTGAGTGAGTTAATATTTATCGTCACATCGGCAATATTTCAGCCATATCGTGACGAGAGAGAGAAAGCCATTGTAATGGTGCAGATGGGGGTCGACATACAGTGCTGTTCCCAACGCCCTCGGATGCCACCGTATCACGGTCATAAGACTTATTCAGGGCTTCAGACAGACTGGGGTCACCGTAGACAGACCAAGAAGTGGACGTCCACGCATCACAACGCCAGCTGAAGATAGGTACCTACGTCATTAAGGAAGGAGGGTAACGTTTCTTTTGGCGTTTAGTGTATGCCATGATCGACCTCTTTCAGTGAAAATGACTAGTGCCAAATTTGAACAATTCATTATGGTCTGTTGATTACATAATTATAGTATACATATGAAAAACACTTTTTCGTTTCTTCTTTTTATGTGTGCAGAGTATTTTTGTATATTTCAGCCATATCTACACTTAAAACCTAATAACAATGGAAAAGTAATGAAATTTGTTGTCGAATCGATTTAACTAGGGACCGGTCCGTCTTGACCTGCAGGGTTTCACTATGTAAGCCTGTATCTACTTTTATGTCCGGAGGGCTAATTCCTCCCCACTGTGGCCGTCAACATGTCCATCACATACTGACCGTCCTTGTCATTAGGACAACCTTGTTGGCGCCTACACCAACCACCAGTATGTGACCTCTCCTGGTTCCCGCTATTCCTCTGATAATAGTGGTTAAAGCGTCCGCTCGTCACGCCGAGAACCCGGGTTCGATTCCCCACATGGGTACAATGTGTGAAGCCCATTTCTGGTGCCCCCCGCCGTGATATTGTTGGAATATTGCTAAAAGCGGCGCAAAACTAAACACATTCACTCACTCACTATTCCTCGGATGTTCTGGAAGGTATTCTGTCCAGGGTCGCTTGTAAACTCCACATCTCAACTGGCTGTCAAGCGTATCACAGCCTTCTTGTAACCCCGGATTAACAAACCTGCAGCGCTTGTTACTAAGTTGCTAGTATATTCCATTGATTTCCGCGCATGTTCAGAATAACAACACTGGCAGGGTCTGAAGTGACAGCTACAAATGTGGAGTTGTTCAAGTAAGAAAAGGCTATAATAAATGTTTGGTGTTTGTTGTTCAAGTAAAAAAGGACAAGTAAATATTTGGTGTTTGTTGTTCCAGTAAGAAATGACTGTAGTAAATATTTGGTGTTCAACTAAGAAAAGGCTATAATAAATGTTTGGTGTTTGGTGTTCAAGTAAGAAACGACTGATCAATGTTTGGTGTTTGCTGTTCAAGTAAGAAAAGGCTATAATAAATGTTTGGTGTTCAAGTAAGGTAAGACTATAATATATGTTTGGTGTTTGTTGTTCAAGTAAGAAATGACTGTAGTAAGTGTTTGTTGTTTAAGTGAGTGATCGAGTTTGGTTTTACGTCGCTTTTAGCAATATTCCAGCAACATCACTGCGGGGGACACCAGAAATGGGCTTCACACATTGTACCCAAGTGGGGAATCGAACCCGGGTCTTCGGCGTGACGAGCCAACATATTACCCACTATGCTACCCCACCGCCCTGTTTAAGTAAGGTAAGACTATAATAAATGTATGGTGTTTGTTGTTCAAGTAAGAAAATACTGTAGTAAATGTTTGGTGTTCGATCAAGAAATGACTACAATAAGTGTTTGGTGTTTGTTCAAGTTGCATATGATACATTTCGGATCCGAATGTAAGAAGGTATTGGATTTGACAAACCCTACTGTAGGTAGCTGAAACTATTACCATGTATTTTTGTAACAATCCATGTGCTCGTAAATAACTTCTTCAAATGTTATTACTGCACCATGAAGTGTTGGGTATTTCTGAAATTCAAAGCTCATCCTCACAGATCCACGGGCCCCTAAGTCCATGCAATCCGAAGGAAGCGTCTGGGAAGTATATTTTTATTTGCATGTGTCCAGTCGTTATACACCTTTATTTACATTGTACATGTCTTCTATTCTGAGGATAAAAAATGAAAAATAGAATTTTTTTAAAAAAATTAAAAAATATTTTTATTAGCGACAGTAGTTCAGTTTATGAAGAACTACAATTAAAACTGAAGATAATACAGAAACGCTCTTAATTTTGTAGACTAATTGGTTTATCCTCTGGTTAGTCCTCTCTTTGTCTGAATCTGTTTAAGGATATACACATCCCTTGTTCGTTATCGTGATGTGGTCAGTGTATACAGACTGAAGGGTGATGCAGGTCAAGACAACGTATACGAGGTTTAGATTGTTTCTGTTAAACGCCACACTCAGCACGCTAGCAATCTGTAAATAATCGAATCTGGAACAGATATTCCAGTGATCAACATCATGAGCATCTACTTACGCAATTGGGATACGATGACATGTGTCAACCAAGTCAGCGAGCCTGACCACCTGATCCTGTTAGCCGCTTCTTACGACAAGCATGGGTTACTGAAGATCAATTCTAACCCGGATCTTCACAGGTCCGTAAACCTTGTACAATAACAGTTTCTGACCCTCCATATCAGTCTGACAGGCCATGGTATAACTGAAATACAGTACGGTGTCCTCACGCATACTGTATATATTTGTAGTGACCTTGCATTAATATGCGGTCATGTTAACTTCATTTACTAAAATTCTTTCTCTTAATTCCAATATTTCAGTATTTGAAACTTAAAATTTCCGAGTATATTTTCATTAAATGTTTATTCTTAAGCCATAAGAAATCTAGTGCTTATTATGTATCAACATGAAAAACATAATGTATAAACAAAATAGAGTATTCCATCATGAAGGCACATGAGTAACACGATAGTGGTTGCAACCAGATTCAAAGTTAACAGTGGTGTCATGTCGCCTTCCTATCTGCTGTACATGTTACTGCGAGAAACAGCTGACACTAAATGGATAAAAGAGATGTATTATACTGTTATCTGATAGTCTACAGTGAGCGGAAACAGGTGCTGGTATTGACTTCCCTGTTGGGAGTGGTTGAAGCGGAGCACAATACAGCCATAATGAGGTTCGTGTAGAGAGCGGACTTTCCTGACATGTTGATGTCATATTTGCCCTGCTGGTCAGCACTGATCCACATGGAGTGATTGAGTTTAGTTTTACGCCGCACTCAGCAATATTCCAGCTATATGGCGCTGTCTGCACCAGACAGTTCAGTGATCAACAGCATGAGCATCAATCTGCGCAATTGGGAACCAATGACATGTGTCAACCAAGTCAGCGAGCCTGACCACCTGATCCAGTTAGTTGCCTCTTACAAGCATGGGGTACTGAAGACAATATTCTGACCCGGATCCTCACGGGCGACCCCCATGAAGAGCAACTGGTTTTCAAATATTGTCCTCTTAGTTTGTTGTCGGATATATCCCTTTTATAAATATAACTGGAAAAAAATGAGTAATATAAGCGAGTTAAACTTTTACGTCGTTATTTCAGCCATGTAATGACGAAACCAAGTCTGCACACATTTAAATTACAAAGTCAAAAGGGGTTTCCTCAAAATCATATTTCTTCATTACATTATTGTTTACAAACAGAAAAAGTCATAGTACCAACTTTCTGAAAGCAATTTGTCATACACATAACATAGTTACAATTTATGATACAGATCAGTTTCCCTTACGCGTTGCTCACAATGAGAAGCCCGCTTACTCGCGAAGAAACTCTTTCAGATTTATTGCCTCAAAATAAGAATCCCTTGCATTTGAAAGGGTCCACGTGGTCAAGCTGAATATGCCTGATAGTGAACACTTAATAGCAAGAGTGAGTGAGTATGGTTTTACGCCGCTTTTAGCAATATTCCAGCAATATCACGGCGGGGACACCAGAAATGGGCTTCAAATAATAGTAAGAGACACACTTAGGATGTCCATCTCCATTTGTTTTGAGCAGATAGTCGTGAGTAAACCGTACTAAACCGACTGTGGCCAATACGACATCGACGTAAAACGACCTCATCACGTCTTGACTGACAACCCAAGGCGGTATAACCGACTGTTGGTTTCAGTTCGTGTAGTTTATTTCTTCCTACTTGGGTGTCCCACCTTTCTCGCAAAAGGTCCCGAGTATAACTTTTGATAGTGGATTTGAAATCACTATGCGGGACCAGCAGTGAAAATAAATGTTTGTAAAGAGCCGTTTTAGCTGCAGCATCGGTCTTTGTGTTACCTGCTATGCCTAGGTAACCAGCAGAGGATGACGTCACATTTTCCAGTAGAAATGGCGTTGTAAAGTTCTAAAGTGTCCTGGATGATAGGGTGACTCGAAGTGACACTTTGAAGTTCCTGAAGGCAAGATAATGAATCTGAGAATCTGACAAAAGGCACCCATGGTACCCGGGTAAGGTAATCGGGCCATTGTTTAGCACGCTGGGACTCCTGATCTGAGGCCTATTGGTGGATGTCGACAAGGTTTCGAGCCAGTACAAATAGTGGTATTAAAAGCTACTACACCATGCACTGGGATAGTTTCCGAAATTATTACCATTTAAGTGAGTGAGCGTGTACAGCTTAACGCCGCTTTTAGCAATATTCCCACAATATCACGGCCGTTGACACCAGAAATGGGCTTCACACACTGTACCCATGTGGGGAATCGAACCCGGGCCTTCGGCGTGACGTTACCCCACCGCTTCTGTTACCATTAAGATTCCACTGACAAAGGTGTAACAGAATAGAGTGGGACACACTGTAGGGTAGACTTTAAACCTATAATAGGGATTCACACAGCATCCCTATACATGTCACAGCTATTACGCCGATAAAACATAACTTCGACTTGCTGTGGAGTGTGAATCCGTTTATTCTATTCGTTAGACATCGCAGGAAGAAGAGTGAGTGAGTGAGTTTAGTTTTACGCCACACTCAGCAATATTCCAGCTATATGGCAGCGGTCTGTAAATAATCGAGTCTGGACCAGACAATCCAGTGATCAACAGCATGAGCATCGATCTGCGCAATTGGGAACCAATGACATGTGTCAACCAAGTCAGCGAGCCTGACCATCCGATCCCGTTAGTCGCCTCTTACGACAAGCATAGTCGCCTTTTGTGGCAAGCATGGGTTGCTGAAGACCTATTCTACCCCGGATCTTCACGGGTCCACAGGAAGAATGCCCTGTAAACATTTCATTTGTATATGAATATCACAATGTTTTCTTATCACAAGGGTATTATCATAGATTCACTTGTAACAACAGATTAACGGAAAAGGGGAGACAACTGAAACACATATAAATCATGGTCACATTGAGCGATATGCACCTCACATTGAACTGAAATAAATAAATTGATAACAAGTAACTTTCCTTTTCAGCTAGTTCACAAGTATAACCGTACTGAGTTTGAAATAAAAACTTATGCATATTGGTTTACATTTTCCAGAAGAAAATGAATTTTTTTTACACGTTTACATTATATTCAAAATTTGCTCACCCGTCTATAAGACGAAACTACTCCTAGACGTCTGCTAGATGATACACACGTACCTAGACTCTAAATACAATGAAATTAACATATATATATATATATATATATATAACTTGAAACCCATCACCAGCACACGCAAGTGATTATCAGTCTAACCACCACAGCGCGCTCCACACCCATCCAAGAAATGGGTGAAAATATGTATAATAGCAATCCGATTAAGGCATAAAAACTTTACAACCTAATCCGGATTAGCATAACATAATTACATATTCAAACTACCAACATTAATTAATATTTTTAAGAGACGAATTTATATGCATTACTGAGATATTATACCCTAAAATTTTAGAAACCATTTTACAACCAACTATAACTAACCTGGTGACTTCTCCGGCTCGACCTCACATTATCAGCTCTCAGAATGCAATGAAAACCACAAGACACCACGAGGTATGATCATGTTGAAGCAGATGATCCAGTCAACCAATCAAAATTCTCCATGTTATAACAAAGATTCCCATAAACATGAAATGCACGTGAAATGCATATTCATTACCCTGGCCTACACAGGACAAGCACAAATAATACTGTTGGCCACAAAACTGTATAACACCACCAAGAAATGTTTTTGTATGACTTTTTATTGTTGACATTTTAGATAAAACAAAATATATAATACAAAGTGAAACGTCACTGCTGCATATATACACACACGCACAGGGGCTTGTATTGCTGAAAATAATACGTCCTGGGTCCTACAAACGTATCCTAATATCCATATACATCCTTCTTTATATGTATATGGATATCAGTGTACGCTTGTAGGACCCAGGACGTATTGTCTTCAGCAATACAAGCCCCTGTGCACACATGAACATTAAATACGTAACACTAAATTCAACCCCTAGACCGGAAAATAACGACAAACAATGGAACCCAATGGAAATTGAATGTCTTTCCAAGAATCTCCCTTAGATTTTGAAATCATAAGATTCGTGGCTGTCATCGTGAGGGACTCATGTCAAAGTAACGTCTTTACACATCATTAGCATGTTTTTCTAAGCATGGCCGCCTGTTTGTGGCAGCGCGTGTCAAGGCAATATCTTCACCCGTGGGCGTTTGTATATGACAGCAACAGTCAAGTCAATGTCTCCAATTGTGACTTGTTTGTGAGAGCGCATGTTAAGGCACCTTTCTCTCCCCTTACTAGTACATCATAAGGCGGTGTCTTAACCCTTGACTTGTATGTCACGGCAAAGGTCAAGGCGAAGACTTCACATGAGAGTTGTTTGAAAGAGTGCATGTCAAATCAGTTTCTTAACACGTGACTTCTTTGCGATAGCACGTGTCAAGCAGCACCGTCTCATTGAAACAAGAGTGAGTGAGTTTAGTTTTACGCCGCTTTTAGCAATATTCCAGCAATATTACGTCCAGGGACCCCAGAAATGGGCCTCACGCATACATATGTGGGGAATCAAACTCGGATCTTCGGCGTAACGCGCGAACGCTGTAACCACTAGACTACCGCACCGTTCCTTGAAACAAGATGTAGACAGACAATGAATATATGAAAACATGTATTTTGCCACAATCTAATACAAACGTGTAAGTCTCTGTACCCTGGTTTGTTGTTAGTCACAGTGATGATGTCTGTCGCTCACGTTGGAACTACATGTGTATATGTATAGGTATTCATACATGCACTTTGTCCTAATAATAATAATAATAATACTGGAAATTTATATAGCGCTAAATCCAACCTCTACGTGGGTGCTCAAAGCGCTACAAAATAATAATGTTTGAGTAGAGTTAATAGTGCAGTGAAAAGACATGCGTTCTAAGATGTGATTTGAACACAGCAACTGATGGGGACAGTTTTAAGGCGAGAGGCAGTTCATTCCACAGCGATGGAGCAGAAACACTGAAAGAACGCTTTCCATAAGAGGCCAGTTTATAAGAAGGAGTTTTCAAAAAAAATCTGCTTTCAGATCGCAGTTGTCTGGATGGTTTGTAGGGGGTTAGCAGTTCACTTAGTATTCTGGTGACATGCCTTTTAGACTCTTGAATGTGGTACAGAGTACTTTAAACACTATCCTCGCCTCAACTGGAAGCCAGTGTAATGACTTCAGTATCGGCGTAATGTGAGAGTACTTTCTTGACAATTACAGTTTGGTTTCGGGAGAATGGTATGTTACACTACGATTGAGCTTGTAAATAAATGCCAGGCATTGGAGCGACAGTAAACATGTACAATGAGAGTTGGCAGATCCCAGTATTTAGATTTACCATAGAATTGATGATAGGTTGACCACTGGAGGCAGTGAATACTCGAACGTCACATGTAACGAAAATAATACGCTGGTTGGATCAAGATTTTGTCGCAGTTAAATTCTTTGAATACTGTCTTGGTTTTCATGTCAATTGCCTTGACAAATATTATCTGTTGGGTTTGTCGGGTTAAAAACTCATACTATTATATACTCATTATTACACACGAACTGAGAATTACGAGAGGTTAAATGCTGTGATAGTTCCGTTTTTAAACATAAATAGTTTCTGTTTAAGTTTTGACATCATGGCCCCTCTGATACTAAAGTTGCTGGTGGACACAACGAGCACCTTGCAGAGACTGAGGACAGCTTGATCGAGCAGCGCCATCTCGAGGCCAATACAAGCACTAGACACATGACCTTGAAGGTCAATATGAAGCACCACACCATCCGTGTCAATTTCGCGGTTACCGAACCATTTCCTGGCACTATTTCTTACATCCACCGAGTCACTAGCTACAAAAACACGGCTAGTATTTTTAAATTTTGATAGAAATCTCCATAATAAGTCTACAGAGGATAATGCATTTATCGGAGAGGCGTCATTGGGCATGTTGGGATTTTTCCTCATCCGAACGTGAGAGCAGACTAAATCTGTTTCCTTGGGAACTGTGCTCATGAACTTGTTGATTCGTTTCCCGAAATGAACAGAGGGTGTCATAAGTTGGTGCCATATAGTTTGAAAAATCTGAGGTCGTTTTTTGGTTTTAAACTCTTTCGGAACGAAGCTTCCATATCTTGGACTGTATTTAATTCCGTTGATGATGTCTTGATTTGTTCTGAAGAAGACCACGTCGCTGGGATGCTTTAGGTTGAAGTCACTTTTGACATCGACAACACCATTGCGGTTATTCATCCAGTTCACTTGCTCCAAGCTCAGGCCTTGAATGTCTTTCACATTCACATTCCAGTTGACCATATTTGGGATGTAGAACTTTTTGATATCACATGGGTGGGACATATTGATACCAAACCTCCGACCTGTTACCCTAGCAAGCAGATAGGCAGCTACTATGCCCCTCTGCCTGTCTCCCCAACCTCCACAGCGACCCTTCTTGTCACAGAGGTAGATGAGGTACCGTCTACGGGGTCCATATGTGGGTTTAGTGCTGTTACTGTGGAACTGGCGTACCTTCTTCGTGGTTGTTTCTGTGTGATCAGTTCCAGTATCGACATGAGGTGCTTGTGGATTCTCTGCGTCGTTCTGCTTGGTCTTCAGCGGTTGTCTATCTCTGGCGCCAGCAGCGGATGTAAGGCTCTCCGTCCAGGCACTTATGTTTGAGACTGCTATGTTCCAAGGTCTACAACCAATGAAATATTACACAGTCAATAGATATATACAGATGTATCATGTCGTAACAATATAATGTGACGATTCATATTTTTAATAAACTAATGGAAAACAGTGACGTTTGTTGTGGTTGATGTCTCGTTCAAGGTTATTGTCCACGTGCGTGCGTGTGCAAATTTGGTAGTAAGGGGCGGGGCGGAGCGGGGCGTCTGTCGATGGTGGTTTTGATTAAAGACTTGTAAGAATAAAATAAGTATTAGCCCTTTGGTAAGTGCGGATATTCGCATTAAATATAAACTTGAAAGCAATTGCTTAACACTAAAAATAAATCAACAAGGGAAGTAACACGCATCACGCCAATGAATAATTATAACATGAGGCCATTGAAGAACTTAACGTGTTGCCAAGTTGCCTTCAAATTGAGAAAATATGCAGACAATTTCAACTTTTACAGACGTTTTCGATATCACCTGAATATAAAATAAAAACAATATTCTATTTCCAGGCAACTAGAAGATGAAAAAACACCAATAAAAATCCTGATTAACCAAGTACCCTCTTTGTACATGAGCAGCCTAATCAGGAATTTACATGGTGATGTGCAGCCTGTGTAATTAGCTCTGTTCCTAGAATAATCCCACACCGCAGGGCAGGGCAGGGCAGGGCAGGGCAGGGTATAAACTGTCCTCTACAGTGAAACCCCGTTAATCTGGACGACCCAATTCCCAGTTTAATGAGGGGTATGTCTATCATGTATTACGTAAACGTTCAGATAATAATTGTCCTGAATGCAGTGTTTCTGGACTATCACGGTTCCGGAAAAATTGGGGTCTAGAAAGAGAAATAAGACTATTGGAATTTCCGGACAAACAGATTTTCTTAACTGTCGGGGTTTCGGACAAATGGGTTTTCCCAACTGCTGGAGTCTCCGGAGAAACAGGTTTTCTGAACTCACAGGGTTTCTGGAATATCGAGATTTAACTGTGAAAACATGCAATACCTGAGGTCAGAGGTTAGCAGGAATGGTCGGGATGACCCGGCAGTAAGGATGAGGAACCATACGACGACCAGTAAGATGGCTGCTAGTAAACCAAGACGTATCCTCCTGAAATACGTCCACAAGAAAATCTGTAACTCCCATTCTAACTGCATATACTGCATAAACCTAAGACAGTCGTAGCGCAATGATTGTCGTAACTCCCATACTTTAACATAAACCTAAGACAGTCGTAGCGCAATGATTGTCGTAACTCCATACGATATTAACATAAACCTAAGACAGTCGTAGCGCAATGATTGTCGTAACTCCATACGTTAACATAAACCTAAGACAGTCGCGCTATCACAGTCGTTAACATAAACCTAGCGCAGTCGTAAATGATTGTCGTAACTCCATACGTTAACATAAACCTAAGACAGTCGTGACTCCCATACTTTAACATAAACCTAATACAGTCGTGACTCCCATACTTTAACATAAACCCAATCTCCAGAGGGTTATTTAGATATCTTATTACATCCACGAATTTACACAGAAATTGAAACACGATAACAATCTAGGCACAGAAAGACAAACAGAACATTGTCTCACCTGCTTCTTAAACTGCATACCTGTCGACATCTGAGCGGCTTTGCTAACCTTGAACCGATCTGCATCCTCGTTATACAGAAACTTGCCTCAACATACAGCTGACAGGATGCATCTTCTATACAGGTAAATAAACTTGTTTTCTAAGGCGTCCTACACTTGGACAAGTTGGACCTACAACAGACAACACAAGCTCATTAGGGTACGCAGGGGCGGATACAGCTTTTGCGAAAGGAGGGTGCACACTATTGAGAAAAGGAGGGTGCACACTTCATTTTCACCCGAGTTTCAATGGTCATTTAATAAACTTTCAGGACAAAAGGGGGCACCCTGCAAACACCCACCCACCCACCCCTCTGGATACGCCTATGGGTACGGTACAGTGATGACCCACACCTGACACAGACATACCCCGCCCATACAATGCTCGTGTAACAGGAGGTATATCTCTTTTCAGTATTGTACTCAATCTGAACTGAACGCTCTGAATGCACTATATGTCCGCGACGCACCTGTCACTGTTGGGCGTGGCCAGGTGCAATGACTATACAGGTGCTATATACGTGTGGATGGAGAAACGACTAGTACCATGGAACATTGGTCAGTTGCTTGGCCAGAGTGACAACACTGTCTACATATAAGTTTGAATCACTTGACTGGTTTTCTGTCACAGGGATGGGAACAGGAAATCTATTTTCAGCTGAAAACTTATAAACTTAATATTGTGTCATCGAATGGAGGTGGGGTGGTTTCTCAACGGATTCGGACGATTCACAGAATTGATCAATTTGTAATAATATCGGCGGAAATCCTCGGATCAGCGGACATTGCAATCCCTGCTATGATAAACTTGGGAAGCCGAGAGCGCATCGCGGCTCTCGGCTACAACTTGGGTGACTGACTTCACACTCATGACACTGCTAGATCAACAAATGACAAAATATTGAAAAAATTTGAATATAACTCATATATTGTACTGTCATATGACATGTACAGGGTTGCACACTGAGGGTGTTCTGTTTTAACACTTTGACTTAACGATTGTAAACTCTCGCAAACAACGACAAACCTGTACCCCAAATCCGTGTGTCGCCCACAACTTTGTAAACACAAGGGACGTAACTCTAGCACTGCAATTTATTACCTACTCGGGTAGAGTCGGTTGTAACCCGATGTGCGAGGTTAGCCGCGTGCACTTCTTTCTTGTCCTGCGGCAGTTATCTCCCTTGGGTATGAGGACCGCCCAGGCTGTCAACTGTTTAAATGTTCGTGGTAAAGTATCGTCAAACGTCGCATTCAATTTTGTTTCACTTACAAAGATTAAAATGGAAAGCCCATTCAGGCACGTTACTCCGACCAATCTTTGTGTTATCCTTTATGTCAAACGCTAGACAGGATAACAAGTACAACAGACATAATTTATGGTACTATCATCTTGTCTACTGGACTACTGAATCGTTAATGTCGTTCTGAAACTGTTGTGGTTTATTTTGTTAAATACTTTTGTTAATTGATATGAACAGATTAGAAGCGCTGTAATACGTCTACATGCACATGCCTTTCACTGAACATTACGACCTGTAGAGATCAGGGTTAGAATTGATCTTCGGCAACTACGAGGCAACTGACTTGGTTGACGTAACAATTTTGTAGATCTGGAAAACAACAACAACAACAAAACAAAACAACAACAACAACAACATTTATCGCTTACTTCATTATACCATTCTCCCACTCTAATCAGCCAACCTACTTGGTGTAATGGTTAGTGCGTCCACCCGGAGAGCAGAAGGTCGCGGGTTCGATCCCCGGCCGCGTCATCCAACGTTAAAATATGGTACTTGCCTGGCGCTCGGCATTAATGGGTACAACAAGGACTGGTCGGCTTGGAGTCAGTATAATGTGTCTGAGTGGGGTATTTATGCTTAACTGAGGCATGGTATCTCAGTGAGCTAGCACTATAAAACCAGCTTGAGTGAGTTAGTGACTCCACACAGTGTATGATCAACCAATGAAAATATATTTTGAATATGACATATAAATTGTACTGTCACGTGAAATGTACAGAGTTGCATATTGTAGGGGAGTGAGTAAATGTTGTTTAGAGCCGTACCAACAAGTTTGCAGCTATTCGCGGCTAGAAAATCAAGGAATTTACCTATGGAAAGCGAAGATACAATAAAACTGATGACAAAGATCACTAAAACTATAGTCTACTATATCACAATAAACAGTAAACTCTGACATTCAGAATTTAAAATCTACATCTTATCATATAGTATAATTTCCTTCAAATATCTAATATTAAATGTCAAACAGAATACATTGAGGGGAATTCTCCCCCTTCCATAACAATAAATGAATACAATGAGAGTGTCCAATGTGACACGTTCGGATCACTACGTCATCTTGACGATAGGTAAGAGCATGAGTGAGTGAGTTAAAATGTAAAGTCACATCGGCAGTATTTGGCCTCAGCCATATGTACGTTACATGCCAGTCTACCATAATAAATATCGGTCGTAGGCTGTTTTCCTGTTGCATGCTGACCAACCTGCCACTTGATTCACTTAACCAGCAAAATAATCCACTGTCAACTATGGTCACCGGAGGTTTCGAGCCGGAAACACACTAAACAACCTTGAACTTGGGGTCAAATCATGGAAGGCTGGTGCCAATACCATGTGCAGATTGTGGACCAAAAAAATTTTGCAATAAAGTACAATGTCTCACCTTTCATTTAAGCTACCACAAATCACCCTGAGAAAATTAGCACAGACAGAACAGCCCATTTAAACAAGGCACTATATTCTCCTATTTTGCTTCCGGGTCATGGTAAAAGTAAAGGGGGGTAACTGTGGTCTGAGGCCATTTCAGCCATATCGTGACTAAGAAAGTTGTACATATATAAATGAATAAAAAGGAAGTTAGCAAATATACTTACCTGTCTGTAAAGGACAGTAAGACAACTAGATTATCACAGAAATACATTTAAAACTAGTAATTAAATATAAAATACTTTAACTTTAAATGACAAGACAATATAAAAACAGGCGATAGATCGCCAACAACTGAAGGTAGATCACCATACTAGGGACCATGGGGACTTACAGTACAGTTGCTTCCTGCACGGTAAGAACGTGATAGCATATCAAGGGTTGTATGGCATGAGGCGCATTAGATAATTGCTTGTGTTTCACGTATTGCCAAATAGCAGCTTTAGGTCAGTGTATGGAAAAGTACTGCTCGACATTGGCTTTTCCAGTGCAGATTTAGTTACATAACCTGCCTTAGAATTGTCCCCATGCCAACGTGACTTGGTATTCAACAAAACAGGATGTCCAGGTTAGCCTCGGACAAATTGAAATGACATATCAGATTTCAACTAAAATGCAATGATCATGAATGTTAATTGTCTGCAAGCAGGACAAACTATCTGAAAATGCGTATATTCGGAGTTACCTGCCCATACTGTCAATACGTGTGCATGTGTGTGCACACTCTCCCCCAACTGTAACGAATTCAGCAAGACCAAAAGCTGTGAGTAAAACCAAACAGTCCATATTGGTCTGTACTAACTTGATGAACAGTTCCGATCTACAATGGGCATCTCTCTAGAGGTCTGGAGGGTGGGATGACCAAAACAAAAACTGCTGGGTGAACGAGAATGACCCGTGTTCAAGTTCATACCAGAAAAGACCAACCAGATGACATTCAAAATAGACACGAACAATCGATCCATTTTCCCCATTGCATCTTTTACATAGACTATTGTCGCTTAACTTCATCTTAAACAATTCTGTCACTGATATTTCTTAAATTCCAAAGCTTACAAGACCAAATAACACAGTAACCAATATAACACAGTGACCAATTAGCTCGGAGGCCAAGAGTTCATGTGACCATATCACAGGGAACAAACTAGAAAGCCACCTTTTGTTATTGGGGATTATCTCGCACTACTGATCTGGAACTCCAAAACAAAAGCTGCTGGGTGGACGAGAATGACCCGCTGAAGATTGAGTAAAAAATCACACACAGATTTCGAGCATTGGGGCTTGGGTCAATTGTGATTTCACCAATTTCCAAGTTGGGGATTTTCAGTCTTGACTTCCTGCAGGTAGGCAAGATCACAGAAACTCGGTTTTGTCATTATTATGTTTGAGAAAGCTCTTTGTTATCCATCGTCTGATATCTGCAATGCATCCTTTCAAAAGTGTCCTCAACTGAAGTTGGAAGCAATGGCTTGACTCCAAGATAAAGTTGATGGTCATCGGCTTATAGATGGAAACTGCGGCAGAGTTTCCTTGCAATGTCTTCAACAAGGATAGGCACTGTAAAGAAACTGTCAGACTGATGCAAACCTAAAAACCTATTTGAATGCCAGAAACCGATATATGTGTTTATTACGTGATAAAAAAGAAAGAATCTGATAAAAACATGAGTAATAGATTACTTATTACTCACTTTTGAGAACTCACTTTTAAGAAAGCTGAACTTTCAAGTAAATAAATCTGGTCTTGTAAAGGTATGAAATTAGACTGTATGGATTATTCGTATGGACCAAAATAGATACCCGAATGCCTGTTATAAGATGATGAAAGCCTATGATGATAACGGAGGCACAAACTGGGTTTCACACGTTCGAATGCTTCTATTTACTACAGGTTTCTCCTATGTCTGGTAAGCCAAAGATTGTAGCGATGTAAATCACTTCATGTTTGAGTTCAAACAACGCTGTATAGATATTAATATACAACACTGGAATAGTAAAATATGAAACTCATCATTTCTTGTAAATTATAGTACATTTAAGTCACTTCTTGAACCTGAACTGTATATTTCCTGTGGCGCATTAAGCAAAGATCTTATGCGAATGTTGATCAAATTCCGATGCCAATCACATAACTTAAATACACAAAAACAACGTTTTTCAAAGATAATTGTCCCATATAAAGAATTAGTTTGTAACAAATGTATTTTAAACGTGCTTGAAGACGAATATCACTTGTTGCTAATATGTCCATTTAATAACCGATGCAGATCCCAATGTATTCCAGCCTATTTCTACAGCCCACCTTCAATTGTCAAATTCCGAGCCCTTATGAAGATACACAGTGTCACTGTTCTTAAAGGAATATGCATATTCCTGAAGCAAAACCTACGTTAAAATAATTGTATTATGAATTATATTTCAACTCTACACACCATGACAATGTTGTATTACCTGTTGTACTCTTGGCCACATGGCCTTCAATTCTGAATAAAGTGAAGTGAAGTGAAGTGAAATTAGACTGTGTGCTTTTTTATAAATATTTAGTGTCACATTTACTAGAGGTTTATCTTGGGGTCTAGACACTTTTCTAATGCTGCATTACAAGGAAAAGGCATTGTGTGCTGTCTTAAGATCCGGCAAATGTTAATTGTTTAGGCTATGACTTATTCCTTTGAATATTTGATTTGAAAATAGTCCCAATCCCACTTTATGGCGCAGAAGTTGGGGGGCTGTTGGGGGGCTTCACACATAGTACCCATGTGGAGCATCGAACCCGGGTCATCGGCGTGACGAGCGAACGCTTTAACCACTAGACTACCCCACCGCCCCAACACACTGTGAACAGTATTGATACAGTTATATCACGTGTCAGCTTGACACGAGAACAGTTTGATATGCTGCAGGTGATACACGTCCGCAAGCATGATCAATGTTTTAATCACTTGAAACATTATATCCACAACAGGTATATCAGTAAAAGAAATGTTGTTGTAGCAAAAGCCAACAAGCTAAGTTCTATACAATCTTTTTTTTTTTTTTTAAATTAAATTTTAAAAGAAGTTCTATACAAAGTTGATGTTGTACCATGACCTAGCTAATGTCGATTTCAGAATGTCAGTAATCTTGATCTAATGAGTACAACCATTCTTGACTACTTAAAATTATGTATTGAGGTGCCTGTGTTAAACCTTCCTTTGGTTTAGTGAAGAATGTGAGTTAATCTGAGTGTGAAGGAGTGTCTATGTCAGTGTTGAAACAAAAAAGAAATCTGAGTCCATAACATCATACATTAATATGAACCTCAGTAACAGAACTAATATGTCTAACATTTGCATCTTCAACATCTTCAGGTATAATCCTGCTTGATTCTTTTAAAGGTGCTTATCTTTACCTAAATGATCCGGGACAAGCACTACCTTGGGTGCCTGGTCCTCCATGTAACAGGGACTCGGAAAACAATATTAATTACAAAAAAACAAACCCAAAACAAATTAAATAAATATAATATATGTTCGCAAGTTGACATATCCAGACAGGTATCCGGGGCGAATCGTGTTTCAACCCACCGTCCTGTTTCAGGCACTAATTATCACCGGAAAACTCCACCATTGCGCAGACTGGACCACCTCGATCGAGTGTCTTGTGTGGTGAAGATGTTGTTTAATGTTTATTTCAGCGCTCGGAAGCAATCCTTCATCTCAAAATATTTACACCTTGCATAAGGTACCCAAATCATAGCGTTGTTCGCTAGAGGGTTCGGTCTCATCTGATCCTTCCCCGTGTTCGTTAGATGATAGTTATGCAGGGCAATGATTATCTGAGTCGGGCTTGACATCATCTGATGAGCGGTAATACCCTGGACAGAACATCAAACATCTTATTGTCGAAACAACAAGTAGCTGTCATTGGACAAAAGACAGAGCTGCTCATATAACTTCCGAAGAGAGACGGCCAAAGGCAAAACGTATATTACAACTTCAGTATTACCTATATATGTGCAGGACGACCAATGTCCTATATATGTGCAGGACAACTAGTGTCTTACATATGTGCAGGACAACTAGTGTCTTATATATGTGCAGGACAACTAGTATGTTATATATATGCAGGACAACTAGTGTCTTATATATGTGCATGACAACTAGTGTCTTGTATATGTGCAGGGAAACCAGTGTCTTATATATGTGCAGGACAACTAGTGTCTTATATATGTGCAGGACAACCAGTGTCCTATATATGTGAAGGACGACCATTGTCCTATACATGTGCAGGACAACTAGTGTCTTATGTATGTGCAGGACAACTAGTGTCTTATATATGTGCAGGACAACTAGTGTCTTATATATGTGCAGGACAACCAAAGTGTCCTATATATGTGCAGGACAACTAGTGGCTGATATATGTGCAGGACAACTACTGTCTTATATATGTGCAGGACAACCAGTGTCCTATATATGTGCAGGACAACCGGTGTCTTATGTATGTGCAGGACAACTGTCTATAGTGTCCTATCTTATATATGTGCAGGACAACCAATGTCTTATATATATGTATGTGCAGGACAACTAGTGTCCTTATATATGTGCAGGACAACCGGTGTCTTATGTATGTGCAGGACAACTAGTGTCTTACACATATGCAGGACAACTAATGTCTTATATATGTGCAGGACAACTAGTGGCTTGTATATGTGCAGGGCAACCAGTGTCTTATGTATGTGCAGGACAACTAGTGTCTTATATATGTGCAGGACAACTAGTGTCTTATATATGTGCAGGACAACTATTTCCAGTACCCTGGGACAACTGAGTGTTATGTACTAGTGTGCAGGACAACTAGTGTCTTATATATGTGCAGGACAACTAGTATGTTATATATGTGCAGGACAACTAGTATGTTATATATGTGCAGGACGACCAGTGTCTTATATATGTGCAGGACAACTAGTGTCTTATATATGTGCAGGACAACTAGTGTCTTACACATATGCAGGACAACCAATGTGCTATATATGTGCAGGACAACTAGTGTCCTATATATGTGCAGGACAACCAGTGTCTTATGTATGTGCAGGACAACCAGTGTCTTATATATGTGCAGGACAACCAATGTCCTATATATTTGCAGGACAACTAGTGTCTTATATATGTGCAGGACAACTATTGTCTTATATATGTGCAGGACAACCAATGTCCTATATATGTGCAGGACAACTAGTGGCTGATATATGTGCAGGACAACTACTGTCTTATATATGTGCAGGACAACCAGTGTCCTATATATGTGCAGGACAACCGGTGTCTTATGTATGTGAAGGACAACTAGTGTCTTATATATGTGCAGGACAACTAGTGGCTGGTATATGTGCAGGGCAACCAGTGTCTTATGTATGTGCAGGACAACTAGTGTCTTATATATGTGCAGGACAACTAGTGTCTTATATATGTGCAGAACAACTAGTGTGTTATGTATGTGCAGGACAACTAGTGTCTTATATATGTGCAGGACAACTAGTGTGTTATATATGTGCAGGACAACCAGTGTCTTATGTATGTGCAGGACAACTAGTGTCTTATATATGTGCAGGACAACCAGTGTCTTATATATGTGCAGGACAACTAGTATGTTATATATGTGCAGGACAACTAGTATGTTATATATGTGCATGACAACTAGTGTGTTATATATGTGCAGTGCAACTAGTGTCTTATATACATGTATGTGCAGGAAAATCAGTGTCCTATATATGTGCAGGACAACTAGTGTCTTATATATGTGCAGGACAACCAGTGTCTTATGTATGTGCAGGACAGCTAGTGTCTTATATATGTGCAGGACAACTAGTGTCTTATATATGTGCAGGACAACTAGTGTCTTATATATGTGCAGGACAACTAGTATGTTATATATGTGCAGGACAACTAGTATGTTATATACGTGCATGACAACTAGTGTGTTATATATGTGCAGTGCAACTAGTGGCTTATATATTTGCAGGACAATCAGTGTCCTCTATATGTGCAGGACAACTAGCGTGTTATATATGTGTCGGACAACGATTGGCTTATATATGTGCAGGACAACTAGTGTCTTATATATGTGCAGGACAACTAGTGTCTTATATATGTGCAGGACAACTAGTGGCTTATATATGTGCAGGACAACTAGTGGTTTATATATGTGCAGGACAACTAGTGTCTTATATATGTGCAGGACAACCAGTGTCCTATATATGTGTAGGACAACTAGTGTCTTATATATGTGCAGGACAACTAGTGTGTTATATATGTGCAGGACAACTAGTGTCTTATATATGTGCAGGGCAACTAGTGTCTTATATATGTGCAGGACAACTAGTGTGTTATATATGTGCAGGACAACCAAAAGATACATGCGATCTAAAATAGTGCACTGTTTCTTTTAAGAAATCTCTCTCCGATAGTGTGGTTGTATGACGACGTGCTCAGTGCATTGACAATGAATGGTTTGAGCCATCGTGCTCTGTTTCGTCACAGTATTCTCTTGTCACAGTATGTATGTTCTTCTTCTAGACAAAATGCTATGACACATAGTGAAAAAACATTATTACCATGTCAACCTTTATCCTCCGATAGGAAAGGGCGTCAGCACGTATATTTTATCACATACCCATCAAAATGATAATTACTTGGGGTTAAATGTCGAGATAGTTCCATTCTTTAAGATAAATAGTTTCTGTTTAAGTTGTGACATCATGCATATTATATACTCATTATTACACACGATCTGAGAATTACGAGAGGTTAAATGCTGTGATAGTTCCGTTTTTAAACATAAATAGTTTCTGTTTAAGTTTTGACATCATGGCCCCTCTGATACTAAAGTTGCTGGTGGACACAACGAGCACCTTGCAGAGACTGAGGACAGCTTGATCGAGCAGCGCCATCTCGAGGCCAATACAAGCACTAGACACATGGCCTTGAAGGTCAATATGAAGCACCACACCATCCGTGTCAATTTCGCGGTCACCGAACCATTTCCTGGCACTATTTCTTACATCCACAGAGTCACTAGCTACAAAAACACGGCTAGTATTTTTAAATTTAGATAGAAATCTCCATAATGAGTCTATAGAGGATAATGCATTTATCGGAGAGGCGTCATTGGGCATGTTGGGATTTTTCCTCATCCGAACGTGAGCGCAGACTAAATCTGTTTTCTTTGGTACCCTGCTCATGAATCTGTCTAAACGTCCTTCAAAATGAAAAGATTTCCTCATCAGAAGTTCCCATATAGTTTGAAAGACTTTAGCACGTGTTTTGTTTTTAAACGTCTTTGGAACATGGCGACCATATCTGGAACTCCTCCTTATTCTGTTGATGATATCTTGGTTTGTTTTCAGGAAGACAACATCACTGGGGTGTTTAATGTTAAAGTTACTTTCGACGTCGACATCGGCCTTGCGGTTATCCATCCAATCCACTATTTCCCAATTCAAACCACGAATGTCCTTTACCTTCACGTACCAGTTGACCATATTTGGAATATAGAACATCTTGATGTCACAAGGGTAAGACATATTGATGCCAAAATGTCGCCCTGTTACCATAGCAAGCAGATAGGTAGCTACCATGCCCCTCTGTCTGTCTCCCCAACCTCCACAAGAACGCATATCGTCACAGAGGTAGATGAGATACCGTCTGTGGGGTCTAGTGTGGGCCTTTGGTTCATCACTGTCGCGTAATGTCGTGTTCTCTTTAATTGGTGTGACATTGATGTCAGTGGCGGCCACCTCCCCTACACTGGAACAAATGGAATCAGTTTTTAAAAAGAGAACAAAACCTTTTCCATAATCATCAGAAATCTCTGCTGAAAGTCAATTGTACAATTCCGACTATATCACGTGCTTGTGTTTATGCATGACTATCCAACAGTGACGAAAGAAGGTGTTCACCCACACGTTGCACCCGTCATAGGCACATGCAAAGGCAAGTCAACTGTTCATCTAAAGAAAATACAGGAACGTATGGTAAAGTCAAAATACGGAATTACGTAGATGCTCGTCAAATTTGGAAACGTACTCCAACCATTAAATTTTTTGAAGTGACACTTTGAATTCTAACCCTCATCTAAGAACACTGAAGCCAGTGTCGTTTAACACTCCGTAGACACCGACGACTTCAGATGCTGGGATATTGATATATATGTGTTAAAGGCACAATGTCACACATTTTCGACAATATTTTGGTCTATATTATATATATTGGGGCATATGCACTCACTTTAGCTTCCTATCGATGCAATAAAAGACTCATTATTCCTTACGACTTGCCTGAAATCGATAATTAAAACTTCGAGGCGAACAGCTTCCAAACAGATAACACTTACCATAATGGAATGTAAAGAATTGCTCCGTACATCGAAAACTGTCGCAGGCGATGTTGTCGCTATTTGCTGAACTGGTTTCAATTGCAAATAGGATATTCGTAAAGAGCACTCCAAGGTACATAACTCCATGGGGTTTGCTTGAAATAATTTTCGGCCGGTAGAGGGCCCGAAAGTCGATTTAATGCAACGTTGCATTACTTCATTCGAACTTTTTAATTAAACATTGTAATCTAAATAGGTATTTTGTTCTGGAATAAGTATGGTAGCTTTCCCGAGGGCTGATAGTTGTGTGTGACACTGTGCCTTTAATATGACAATTGGAAAACAAAAACAAATGGTTGACAAAAAGTTGGATGCAGCCAACTTGACAACATTCTGCAACAGTGTCTTTTGTTATGCGTTGTTTTGTTATTGTGTTAAGATTCAGTAGATAGCAGTGGTGTGCTAGTTGCTACATTTTGACTGAAACGATCTAGAACATCCGGAATATTCCAAGGAGTCTGACCCTGTGCACAACAAACAAACTAAGAAAACAAAACAAACCCAACAACAACAAAAACAAAACAAAACAAAAAAACAAACAGTGAGTTTTGTGGTACCTGATGTCAGCTATCTTTTTGGTTGGCCATGTCATTTTCGGTAGAGTCAGCAAACAGACAACCACACATATTAGCAGGAGGACAAGGAACATGTGTACCAGTTTTTTCCTGAAATAGTTCAACACACATTGCAACTGTCTATTATCTCACCGGATGTTGAAACATCCTGGTTAAATAACTGTGGATGTGCTGGCTTTGTTCTATTGTAGTGTGGTGTTTATTATTACAGAGTTCACGTTCAGTCAGTCAGTTGTAAGTGCTGACTCACAGCTTAGTCCACATGACCATATCAGATAATTAAAATCTGTACATACCCGGAAGTAGAATCTGTTCAAGCCATACCATGGTTATTCTTCTGTTTTTCCATAACAGTTCTACTTCAAACGTCGTATTTCTCATATGACAGGAGTTGGCCTCCATAAACCCCACCCCCTTTGTGTGTATTACTCCTAAATACCATTCAAAGACTTGATAGTTCTCCTTGTTAAACTGCACATTCAGGACCGACAGAAAATTCAGGTCTCAGAGCAGAGAACAAAGGCGTGGTGTCATCAGAATGGCTGCATGTATCTGAATCAACTATAACTGTAATCGCTTTTTTAAAAATTAAAATTAGTTCATATCCTCAATACTTTGCCAAACCCACCGGAAACATTTATTACTTCACTTGAGAAATTATTTTAAAAATTTATTGGGATGACAAAATAGACAAAATTAAAAGGAACATATTGAAAAAAGATTATATTGAAGGATATGCGTATGGTTGATATTAAAGCCTTTGTTAATGCCATGAAGTTGTCGACACTGAGAAGGTACATGAAAAAATCAAATTTAAATAATCCATGCGCTTTTCCATTGAAGGGTATATTAAATTATGGTGCAAATTTTCAGGATATTGTCGATGATGAAAATCCTTTTTGGAAGGATGTTCTTAAGGCATGGAAACTATACTGTTACCAAAATATAATAGAAGCAGATAACATAAATAAAATCTTAGCTCAACCCATATGGCTCAATCATGAGTTACTTTAAAAACCCAAATCGCCTTATTGGACACTGGGCTAATAAAGGAATTTTAATCATGAGAGATTTATATAATGAACAATGTTTGTTATCTTTAGGAGATTTGAAAAATAAATATGATGTAAGGGGTACACATCTGGATCTTGATATATTTTATACATTTTACCTGATTCTTGTGAAAAAAAAACCTTAGAAGGATACAGACATTTCCATGGCAATGTTATCATTAATAATACTCTACAAAGGGTTTTCTTACTCCAACAAAAGGTTCAAGGAATTTTCAAAATAAACTGGTATCTGACAGTGTAAACCATATATATGTCACAAATGGGAGAACCGATTTGATTATATTGATTTTGAATGGCATAAGACTTTCATTAACTATAGAAAAGATTTAAGAGACATTAAACTTCTAGACTTTCAATATAAGTTCCTACACGGAATTATTTGTACTAAAATAATTGGTGAAGATGAAACTAGTTGACAACGCATTATGTTTTTTCTGTAATGATGTGTATGAGAACTTATGCCATGTATACTGGGAATGTGATAGAACCCAAACCTTTTGGAATCACCTTCAACATTGGATTAACCAAAATATACAGCAACTGCAACTGACAAAATTCCTTGTTTGGTTTGGTACTTTAGAAAAACATCCACTATAAAATCATATAATCATATCTGCTAAAAGACACATTTACATTTACACTAAAAAAATGTACACAAAATTGGATAGTTTCTTAAAGTTTTTAAAAGATACATTCAAGGTTGAAAAGTTTATTTATATTTTACCGATTGCTATTTGAGAGCCCAGTTGTATCTGCAATGTACACCTGCTCGCATATGTCTATATGTACTTTGTATACGTGGTTTGGGAACAATTTTTTTCCTTCTTCTTTCTCGTTTTTCTGTCTTTTATTCTTCTGTTTTTAGTTATTTGTTTCTTTTTCTTTCTTTCTTCTTTTTAAACAAAAACCCCACACCATTAGGTGTTCAACTGTTTTAAATTTTTTAAAAATAAAATAAAATAATAATAATAATCATAAGCAATCACCACTCTGAAGTAAGCAATTGCTGATTAGCACTGATGAGTATTTATTTGTTCTTACTTCAGGTCAATCAGCAAAATGTAAATTGTATGATTAACTGGAAATTTAGAAACTTTCTTATAGTATCTGTGCACAGTTAAAACTGATTGTTTTATTAATCATTATTGAATAATTAATCTTAACGGTGTGCCAACTAGTCATTGTTTAATTAGAGCAACACTCTTGATTGTGCTTCCATTGTATCGGCGATGCATAGAAACATAATTTGGTGGTCATCAATTTTGTACACATGTACTCTGTGTGTGAGCTAGTTTGTACATATAAATATTAATATATAATACTTTAAAATTTTGAGAAGGATGTGGGGGGCATGGGGGTGGGGTGAATTTGTACATGCCATGGGAGGGGGTATTCATGTTGCACATGGCATGCGGGGAAGGGGAGCACTTACTTTGTACATAAAACTTTAGGGGGTCATTCACATTACTTCTCCATAAAAATCATCATCATCCCCTAGCCATAAATTATGAACGGTCCCTTAACATGCATCTAACAATACATGTCATGTGATGTTTCAGTATCTGAGTCTTCACACACGGTGTCTAGTTATTTAAACAACATTAAAGCGATGGCTGTGACACTGCAAACGTGACTTAAATCATGTGAATAGAAAATATGTCTCTGCAGCCCAAGCAGAAAGGGAAGTACTTACATTCTCCCCACAGCGTGAAGTCAGTCAGTCTACTACCACATGAATGGCCCTGTGTACACTGGTGTACTGTACCGCAGACGGTGCGACGCGGCTGTGACCGTGGAGTCAAAGTGTCCAGAAATGAAAAATTACTGAAAGAGTTGCAGAAAGGAAAAGTGGTGAGAAATACAAAATATCTCTCTGAAAACAAACGTCTCCTTGCCCAAATTAAACCGCATAAATTTCAGTTAGAAATTGCAACGGGAATCTAATGAAAACATTAACAAACACTGGTGTGAATTTACTTCCGCGTTCCATTCTCCGAAGTGAAACGAGAGGATTTATGTATGTGATACTTATTGTTTGTTGGTATGTTTCTTCGCACCACTCTTGGTAATATGCCAGGTATATATCTGGGTAGAGTTCTTCCTTCTTCCACCCTATCATGTCTCTCTCACTCTCTACTTTCTCTTTATCTGTTCCTTCTCTCTCCTTCCCTCTCCCTTCTTCAATGTTCCGATCATTCTCTCTCCTTTCAACACCCCCCCCCCCACACACACACACTCTTCACCCCACTCCCTCTCTCAGATGCACACACATATAAACATATACACTGACAAACACCTCACGTCAGTTCAATCCTTCCCTCCACACATTCGACCGTTATCTTACATGGTATAATCTACTAAATCTGGCGCGTCAGGGACATCGATGACAGCCTTGCAGTTTGTCTTGTACTTCTGAAGGAAGGTTATATTTTTAGCAATGGGACTTGAACGATGATTTAAGAGCTCTGCTAATTGAACCCAACCTGGGTATGTTATGACACACAAAGGGCAAAAGAAAGCTGTGAAACAGAAGCGCAACAAAAGCGATGGGAGCCCCAATAATTGTAGGAAGGTCCCCAAACAAGCAGACAGTTATTTTTCGACAGTCCCTATCGAGAAAATTCAAGAAATGGCGGTACATCATGGGTATGGACATTCAAATCATGCTTAGTGCTTATAGTCATGTACCTTTAACTCCATACAACCCCGCCCCATCCCGTGCGGTGCCGGTGACTTCCCCTGACTCAATGAGACCACAGTGGGCCACAGAGCTGTTCCACCATATCAGTACGGTGGACAATAAACTCCTCAAACTGGACTCCATAGAAGCTAGTCTTGCTAACCTAGTTGTCCGAATGGATAGCATGGAGGAGATACGGGTGCTGAGGGAGACAACCGGCAATATAGGGCAAACAACGATATTACCAGGACAAGAGGCTTGACGACATTGACGTGAGACTCGAGAATCAGAGTAAGAAGTTCGAAACTGTTGACAGAAGACTAGAAGAGTTTCAAAATTAGTCCGTATCTGTGGAACTACATGAAGAGATCTTGGATATACAAGCAAGGTCTATGGCAGACAATCTAGTCTTCATAGGTATATCTGGATCTAAGAACGCGAACTGTGAGACAGAGCTAACGAAGTTCATCAATGAAAGTCTACACATAGAGAAACCCATTGAATTCGACAGAGTTCACCGTCACGGGGCACCACGGAATGAGCGAGAGATGAAGGAGCGACCTCGACCAATTGTAGCAAAATTCAACTGCTTCAAGGACAGAGAGTTGACCAGACAAGCCGCTTTCAACAACTTGAAAGGTACGAAGTTCTATGTGAACGAACAATTTCCCAAAGAAACCAAAAACCGTAGAAAGTTGTTGTACCCTGTGAGACGTGCTGCAAATGCTGCAGGAGATCGGGCGGTGTAAACGGCGGACCAGCTCTTCATCAACGGAGAGCGCTACGAGCCAGGGAGAGCCACCAGGAGCTCCAGTGAGTGAGTGAGTGAGTGAGTTTAGTTTTACGCCGCACTCAGCAATATTACGGCTATATGGTGGCGGTCTGTAAATAATCGAGTCTGGACTAGACAATGCAGTGATCAACAGCATGAGCATCAATCTGCGCAATTGGGAACCGATGACATGTGCCAAGCAAGCATGGGTTGCTGAAGACCTATTCTACCCCGGATCTTCACGGGTTCAGGAGCTCCAGACATGACGTTATTAGAAGGAACCACACACTGGAGGAACTCTCCCGCAGTGGCCGCCAACACCGTGGGAACACGACAACATCGTCAACAACTTCACAGAAACGAGCCATGGATACCGCATAGGACAGCAGAGAACATACTTCGAATCCTGGTAAGCTCCTGATCCTGTCTCTTAATGTATGTGGTTTACATACATGACTTATACTACGGACAATATCAATTGGTATTCCCTGTTTATATCCCAGGATGTTTCTAAAATCGCAGCTGAAATCTTCATTGTGCTTAAAAGTATCAGAAATAAATGTATACCTAATAAAACTGTTACAATACGCCCTAATGACTCGCCATGGATGAAAAATGTAATACGCTGTTTAATTTTAAAACGCAACCGAAAACATAAGATTGCAAAAAAAAGAAAAATTCGCCTCAGGCATGGAGTACCTTCAGACAAATAAGAAATTCCGTTATAAATGAAGTAAGGAAAGCAAAAAAACCCGTTATATTAATGACACTGACGAAAAAATATGTTCATCGTACGGTAGTAAAACGTGGTGGCGCTTGATAAAGCAATATCTTAAAACCAATAAATCCACAACTTCATTCCCTAATATTGTTCATAATGATGTACGATATGATGACGATCAGGACATTGTAAATATATGAAACAATTATTTCACTAATGAGGCTGTTGTACCAGAACCATATTCCGAATTAAAAGATATTGTTATAACACCAACTGGATCTTAGAGAGACATATCTGTTGACAAGAATGAAGTTATGGACATTCTATTGTATCTCAATGTTACAAAAGCGTCTGGTCCGGACGGCTTAAGTAACAGATTCTTAGATTTTTTAGCCAACCAAATACGCGAACCTCTAGCGAAGTTAGGATGAGAAAGCCACAATAACTCGGTGCGCCTAGTGGCAGCAAGAGTTGTATACTCCCCAGGGAGTTGAGATTGCTAATACGATGTGCAGTTGATATTGACATCCAATGATCGATGGAAAAATACCAGCGCCTTGAGCATGCACTAGTGCGTGGATATGTGCGCTATATAAATATCCTATAATAATAATAATAATAATAATAATAATAATAATATAATATCTCTTTAAAACATAGTGAGTATCCGAAAATCTGGAAAGAACCGACGGTTGTGCCAATTCACAAGAAGGGTTGTATTCATGAATGTAGTAATAACAGGCCAGTTGCTTTAACAAGTTGTTTATCTACAGTTTTTGAAAAATGCTACTTATTCAATTTTTAAATAACTATATTCAATCCGGTTTTATTAATGACTCAACCAATATAACTTTCTACAACTCTATATCACGAAATCCGGTTTTATGACCATCTATGGCAGACTCAAAATGCAGACATGCTAATATCGAAGCATTGCCCAAATACGTCATTTGTTCTAAGACCGTAACAACTCTATATCAGTGCTGTGTTGTGTCCCATTTAGATTAGATCAAGGACTACCAAAGAAATTAGAGCTGCAGCGCGTTCAGAATTGTGCATTCTGACAAAGACATAAGCCACAAGCTAAAGAAACTTCATTGGTTGATGGCAGACAGAATCACTTATAAAGTGGCAGCAAGGACAGGCATAATCCTGTGTATCCAAACTCCTCCAGGAATACAAGCCAGCAAGGTCTCTTAGATCCATTAAAGCATGCTGTGTGTTCCACACGCAAGAACCACCACCTATGGAGATCGATCATTTTAGAGCAGCACGATCTGGAATGATAAAACTGAGAATAAATAACTTGGCAAGTTAAAACCAATCTCAAGTCATTCTCAAAGACATACAGTGGACCTTGCTTATACATGTGACATGCATCCTCTCAAAGCGCTTTTGAGCAGTTATACTGACTGGATTCTTGCGCTATATAAGTTCTTAGTTGATGATGATGATGATGATATCAAAAACATTAGATCAAGGCAAAGAAATTAGAGCTGTATTCTGTGACATAAGTAAAGCCTTCGATAAAGTATGGCAGAAAGGCATAATCCATAAACTGGAGCGTTCATTAAGGTAATCATTAAATTGGATATCTTACAGATCCAGGTATAAACTCATCTGAGCGGGCTGTGTTAGCTGGGGTTCCACAGGGGTCAGTCCTTGGAACCTTGCTGTTCATAATCTACATAAATGATATTACAGATGGTATAGATAGTAACATCCGTTTATTTGCTGATGACACCTCACTATATATCAGTATCGAAGATCCAGCAGTTGCGGCTCGCTACCTACACAGTGACCTGGCTAAAATTTCATCGTGGGCAAAAAAATGGAAAGTTTCATTTAATCAATTAAAAACAGAATCCATACTTTTTACAAGAAAAACAAATTCGAGCTCTAAACTACCACTCTTTATGAATAATACCGTTACCTGCGAAGTCGAAAGTCATAAACATTTAGGGGTTACTCTGCAGAGCGATTGCACTTGGAGCAAACACATTATCGATATCGCAGAAAAAGTAAGCCCAATGATAAATTGCTTACGGAAATATAAATACAGCCTTAATCGTAAAACCTTTGAAATTATGTATAAACAGTATATATATCCCGTGTTTGACTTTTGCGGTCACATCTGGGACAACTGTTCTAAAGATCAATCTGATTTCTTAGAAAAATTAAACCTAGATGCTATACGAACAATGTGGTTTAAACATATTTTTATTTCGCCAAAGCATGCAGAAACCTGGATAGGCGAACGCCGTTCCAGTACATTATTCCAATAGCTGGACACATAAATGAAAAAGTTTGACAACAAAAGAATAATGTTGAGACCAAATAACATATATGATTGAGTAATGAATATGTTCGTTATGGTGTTGGTTATGCCTAGCAACGAAATGAGCTGCTGCAGAAAATCAAGTTATGTAAAGTCTTACATTGAATATATGTATAGAGGTGATAATCACTGGAAACGGTGAGTCTTAGAAATGAACTGGTGTAATGAGTTGAGAATGTCACGATTTGTCATTCAATGCGCCGTTACCGTATAAAGTAGTTTTAACATTTTATCCTTGAGTATAAAAATACACAGTTGCCCTTAGTTTTTTATAGTTCTGACATATAAACAGATAATGAATAACGTCTTCGTTATAATGACCACATGAACACTTGAATGTTTCCGATTATATCTGTCAGCGTTTAGGTCACTACAGCCGAGCTTGAGGCGTCAATGGATGATTTGACAAAATCTAGTCCCAAAATTTAAATCAAAGTTATTGTGAGTTTCTGTTGGGTTTATCATGGTTTTAAATTGATTCAGGGAAATAGCGTTAACAGCTCATCGGGCAATGAGTTCCACGACATAATCGCGCTGGGTAAAAATGATTGAAAATATCTTTGCGTTCTACAGTTAATAGTTTGAATGGAGGTACTATTTCTAAGATTATAGTTGCTTTGTTCAAATGCTCTACCTGGTACAAGATCGTTCAGATAATCAGGAGTCAGACGTT